GGATCCTGAGTTCTTGACACACTTCAATAATTAGATGTCAAACACCCAGCTGATCAAAAACAAAGTGTTGCAGAAACTCAGCAGGTCTGGCAGCATCTACAGAGAGGAACACAGAGTATCTCTCTCCACAGACAGAGTCATAGAAATATACAGCATGGAAACAGACCCTTCGGTCCAACTCATCTATGTCGACCAGATATCCTTTATTACTCTAATCCCATTTGCCAGCATTTGGCCCATATCTCTCTAAACACTCACTATTCATATACCCATCCAGATGCCTTTCAAATGTTGTAATCATACCTGCCACTTTCTCTGGCAGCTCATTCCATACACACACCACCATTTGCATGAAAAAGCTGACTCTTAGGTGCCTTTTATACCTTTACCCTCTCACCTTAAACCTATGCCCTATAGTTTTGGACTCCGCCACCCTGGGGAAAAATCCTTACCTGTTTACCCTATCCATGCCCCTCGTGATTTTATAAACCTCTATAAGGTCACCCATCAGCCTCCAACGCTCCAGGGAAAATAGCCCCAGCCTATACAGCCTCTCCCTATAACTCAAACCCTCCAACCCTGGCAACATACTCACAAGTCTTTTCTGAACCCCTTTCTAGTTTCACAACATTCTTCCTATAGCAGGGAGACCAGAATTGGTCACAATATTCCAAAAGTAGCCTAAGCAATGTCCTGTAGAGCTGCAACATAACCTCCCAACTCCCATACTCAATGCACTGACCAATAAACACAAGCATACCAAACACCTTCTTCATTATCCTATCCACCTGTGACTCCACGTTCAAGGAAGTGTGAACATGCACTCCAAGGTCTCTTTGTTCAACAGCTCTCCCCAGGACCTAACCGTTAATTGCATAAGTCCCGCCCTGATTTGCCTTTCCAAAATGTAGCACCTCACATTTATCTAAATTAAACTCCATCTGCCATTCCCCGGCCCATTGGCCCATCTGATCAAGATCCCTTGGTACTCGGAGGTAACTTTCTTCACTGTCCACTACACCACCAATTTTGATGTCATCTGCAGACTTACTAACCATACCTCCTATGTTCACGTCCAAATCATTTATATAAATGACAAAAAGCAGCAGACCCAGCCCCAATCCTTATGCACACCACTGGTCACAGGCCTCCAGTCTGAAAAGCAACCCTTCACCACCACCCTCTGTCTTCTACCTTCGAGCCAGTTCTGTATCCAAATGGCTAGTTCTGCCTGTATTCCATGTAACCTAATCTAAACTAACTAGTCTATCATGGGGAACCTTGACCCACACCTTACTGAAGTCCATATAGGTCACGTCCACCACTCTGACCTCATCAATCCTCTTCATTACTTCTTCAAAAAACTCAATCAAGTTAGTGAGACATGATTTCCCACTCACAAAGCCGTGTTGACTATCCCTAATCAGTCCTTGCCTTTCCAAGTACATGTAAATCCTGTCCCTCAGGCTTCCCTCCAACACTGTAACGACCACTAATGTCAGGCTCATCGGTCTATAGTTCCCTGGCTTTTCCTTACCATCTTTCTTAAATAGTGGCACCACGTTAACCAACCTCCAGTCTTCTGACACCTCACCTGTGGCTATTGATGATACAAATATCTCAGCAAGGGGGCTAGCAATCACTTCCCTAGCTTCCCACAGAGTTCTAGGGTACGCCTGATCAGGGCCTGGGAATTATCCACCTTTATGTATTTTAAGACATTCAGCACCTCCTCCTCTGTATTATGGACATTTTTGCAAAATGTCACTATTTATTTCCCCATGTTCTCTATCTCCCATATCCTTCTCCACAGTAAACACTGATGCAAAATACTCATGTAGTATCTCCGCCATCTCCTGTGGTTCCACACATAGGGGCCTTGCTGATCTTTAAGGGGCCCTATTTTCTTCATGGTTACCCTTTTTGTCCTGAAATGTATTTGTAGAATTCCTTTGGATTCTCCTTAGTCCTATTTGCCAAAGCTATCGCATGTCTCCTTTTTGCCCTCCCGATTTCCCTCTTAAGTATACCCCTACTGCCTTTATACTTTTCTGGGAATCACTTGATCCCAGCTGTTTATACCTGACATATGCTTCCTTCCTATTCTTGACCAAAACCTCAATTTCTCTAGTCATCCAGCATTCCCTACACCTACCAGCCTTGCCCTTCACCCTAACAGGAACATATTGTCTCTGGACATTTTTGAAGGCTTCCCATTTCCCAGTGGTCCCTTGGCCTGCGAACATATGTCCCCAAACAACTTATGAAAGTTCTTGCCTGTTACCATCAAAATTGGCCTTCCTCCAATTTAGAACTTCAACTTTTAGATCCGGTCTATCCTTTTCCATCACCATTTTAAAACTGATAGAATTATGCTCACTGGCCCCAGTGACACCTCAGTCACCTGCCCTGCCTTATTTCCCAAGAGTAGGTCAAATTTTGAACCTTCTCTAGTAGGTCCATCCACAAACTGAATCAGAAAGTTTTCTTGTGCAAACTTAACAAATTCCTCTCCATCCAAGCCCTTAACACTATGGCAGTTCCAGTCTATGTTTGGAAAGTTAAAAGCCCCTACCATAACCACCCTATTATTCTCATGGATAACTGAGATCTCCTTACAAATTTGTTTCTCAGTTTCCCCCTGACTATTGTGGGGTTCAGTAGTACAATCCCAATAAGGTTATCATGCCTTTGTTATTTCTCAGTTCCACCCAAATAACTTGCCTGGATGTATTCCCAGGAATATCCTCCCTAAGTACAGCAGCAATGTTATCCTTAATCAAAAATGCCACTCCCCCTCCTCTCTTGCTCCCCTTTCTATGCTTCCTATAGCATCTGTACCCTGGAACATTAACCTGTCCATCCCTGGGCCATGTCTCTGTAATTGCTATGATATCCCTGTCCATGTTCCCAACCATGGCCTGCGTTCATCTGCCCTTGCCTTCAGATCTGCTGAGTTTCTCCAGCACTTTGTTTTTTGATTTCCAGCTCTCGCAGTTCTTTGTTTTATATTAACTCAGCTAATCAAAGCCAATCAGGAGAACTTGCTTCCAATCTCTAGTCCGGACTAATAGCTAACTTCCATCTTTTTATTTATAACACAGTGATGGGAACACTCCACACACCCTCCCTTGGTATACGTTGTCAGCTCAAATAGTGTTGGATTAATTAGTGGGAACCATTACAAAGCCAGAGGCAGATCACTCTCACCCAGCCTATGAAGACCACCAGGATCTGCGCTTGTTTGCAAGAGTCATTTTGTTCCACTTTAAACTGGCCGACAATTTCAGCATATGAGAAACATACGTGTTTTTAAAACTCAGCCATGCAGTTAGCTGGTTTCTCGCTCCAGTTACCCAGTCCCTGTGTTTGACCTGAGATGCCCCTGGTAACTAGTAACTCCATGTGTTTGTGCCCCATCTTATGCATGGTCCTGGGGCTAGCTCAGTTGGCTGCATGCCTGGTTTGCGATGTAGAGTGATGCCATCAGTGTGGGTTCAGTTCTTGCACTAGCTGAGGTTATTGCTTCCTTAAAAAAAAGAAGTGTAATTTGATGAGCCTTCCTGTCAGTTGGCTGGACACTGGTTTGCAACACAAAGTGTAATCAACAACATGGGTTCAATTCCTGATTCTTATGATCAGCTTTGCTCAGTGGATTAGTATCAAGCAAAGAACTGCGAGTGCTGGAGAAACTCAACAGGTCTGGCAGTATCTGTGGAGAGAGATACTCTGTAGATGCTGCCAGACCTGCTGAGTTTCTACAACACTTTGTTTTTGATCAGCTGGATGGGTTCGGCACCAGCTGAGGTTACCAGGAAGGACTCTCCTTCTCACCCTCTCCCCTCACCCGAGGCATGGTGACCCTTCAGTTAAATTACCACCAGTTGTCTCTCTCTCTCCCTGTCTTTCTCTCTCTGATGAGAGTGTGAGGCTATGTTGACTTTACTTTTACTTTTTGATCCTAGGGCTCCCTTCTAAGTCCATCTCCCATCCTAGCTCCGCTTCATAGAATCATACAGTGCAGAAGAGGCCCTTTGGCCTATCAGGACTGTACGATCAAAGCAATTCTAAGATCTCAAATAGTTCCATGTTCCAGCACTGGGCCCACAGCCTTGAAAATTATGACATTTAAAGTGTAAACTCCTGAAATTGCCAAATGAGGAGGGGTTGCAGGGGATTCAATGGCACATTTTGGTTTCTTACATAAGGAAAATGAAGACCCAGACTCAGATCACTAACTCTGTTTCTCTCTCCACAGATGCTGCCAGACCTGCTGAGTTTCTCCAGCATTCTCTGTGTTTGTTTCAGATTTCCAGCATCCACAGTATTTAGCTTGATTGATCGCGGGAATGAGTGGATTGTCTTATGAGGAAAGGTTGAGCAGGTCGGACTTGATTCCATCAGACCATCAGATAACGGAGCAGAATTAGGCCCTTCGGCCCATCGAGTCGGCTGTACCATTCGATCATGGCTGATGTTGCCCTGGAGTTTACAAGAGTGAGGGGTGACTTGATCGAAAGGTGTAACATCCTGAATGGTTTTGATACGGTGAATGTGGAAAGGATGATTCCACTTGTGGCTCAGTTCTGAACAAGGGGACATTGTTTTAACATTAGGCATTTCCCTTTCAGGAGAGAGATGAGGGGAGTTTTAATTTCACAGAGGCCTGTGTGATTTTGGAGCTCTGGCTCAGAAGGCAATGGAGGTCGGGTCATTGAATTTTGATGGGCAGGAGAATCATGAGATCCCGAGGATAGATGAGAATGTGAAATTTGAAACACAAACGTATCAGCCATGGTCTTGTTGAAATACAAGGCTCGAGAGGCTGAATGGTCTAATTCTGCTCCTATTTGGAATGTTTGTATGCGCTCGGCGAAAGGTCAGGTTGGGACACAGCCCAGAAGTTACATCGAGTTGTCGTCTGATTCCATTTTCAAGCTGACAGTATTAACTGCAGGTTGAGTCTCATTGGCTAATGCAGTTGCAATTTATCACTACAGGTCCTGGTGACTGTTCTGGATGTCAATGACTATCGTCCCCAGTTCTCCAAGAATGTCTTCAGCACCAGCGTTTATGAGAATGAACCAGGAGGAGCTTCTGTGGCTACCATGACTGCAACAGATCTGGACGAAGGGGAGAATGCGGTCTTGCAGTATAGTATTCAGGGCCCTGGTGTGGGTAAGACAAATAATTATCTCACCCCCTTTTGGGAGCAGTTTTCCTTTTTCATTTGAATGTTTCACTGCCCCTTCTAACCTTTGAAACTCTTGAGTTTGGACATCATGACAGAATAAGACCGTAATAAATAGGAACAGGCCATTCAGCCCTTTGAGCCTGCTTTGCTCCTCAATAAAATGATGGCATGTGCCTTTCTGCAGCAGCACAGCAAAGTGCCAATCTCTTTCCCAAACCTTCCCCACAGCATCTCAGAGTTAGTGCTCCTGCTCACTTTGTCATCATTCCTCAGCGAGGTTGGCTCACCTTCACCCAGTATCTCCACTGCGGGAATGGCCTCTGTACCTGTTTAGGGAACCCTTAGTATGAGCAGGTAGTATGGGGGAAGACATCTGTGACAAGGAACAGGAGACATCATCTGGATTGAGAACAATTGCTGGCGGTGCTGACGGTAATGACAATGGTGGTGATGTTGATGGTGGTGGTGGCTGTAACGGTGGTTGGGGGGAGGAGGGGAATGGAATGGGCTCACCTCTCCTGCTCCCCTACCTCCTGACCCCCAAAAGCTGCACCTCTCCAATGGAGCTGAAGCAGGCAATCTCAAATCTAAACTGTGAATCACACTAAGATTTCCGATTACCCTGAAGGGTCAGTAAACTAGGTTCCTGTACCAGTAGTTTGGTTAGAGTGAAGCAAAACTCACAATCTGTCTTTTAAAATGTTTCACAATGAAGGGTATGTATAAAGAGTAGCCATTGTAACAATTTATCATTGAGTGACCTCAAAGGCTAGAAGATATTGTTGTCAGTGGTTGTTAATTTCTGTAGATATCTGAACCTGATGTTTTTGTGTCCCAGTGTACCTCACACTATCTTCCTCTATGTAGATGTAGCTCCCGTTCTCCCCACCATTCCATTCACCCCATCGCTGTCTCTGTATTTCGATCAATCTCTCTGTCCTGGTTTCATTATTTATTCATTTATGGGGTGTGGATGTCATTAGGAAGGTAGCCCATTCCCCATTGCTCTCGAAGCGATGGTGAGGTGACGCTTTCCAGAATATAACTGTGTGGCTTACACAGCTATTGGAGAGAGCAGTTAAGATGCACCCACGTTGCTCTGGGTCTGGAGTCACACATGGACCACACCAAGTGAGGACAGCTAATTTCCTTCCCTCGATTTTGGCAACCATCTCATGGTCGGATTTTATTTCAGATTAAAATCATTTACCAATCTCTGGTCACAGACAGACCTGATGGGATTTGAACTCTGATTTCCAGATTGTAAGCCTAGGCCTTTGGTTGACTGGTCCAGAAACAATGACCACCATGGCCACCCACTGCCTTCAGGCATGTGCTCTCAACCTCTGCGCTTAACTTCAACTCAGCATCCTAGAAATTAACCTGGGCCTGTTTTCTCAGACGTTTTGTTTTAAATTCACTCACAGGATGTGGGCATCGCTGGCTGAGCCAGCATTTATTACTGCATCCCACAATACTTAAGAAAGTGGACCCAGAAAAAGTGAATGCATTGATCAATGATCATAAGACTCTGGAACAGTTCCTGTGGGTGGAGGTTAGCTAATATAACCCTATCATTTAAAGAAAGGAGGTAGAGAGCAAACAGATTTATAAACTGGTTTTCTGAAGAAGGGTCCAGACCCGAAACGTCAGCTTTCCTGCTCCTCTAATGCTGCCTGGCCTGCTGTGTTCATCCAGCTCCACACTGTGTTATCTCAGACTCCAGCATCGGCAGTTCCTACTATCTCTTACAGACTGGTTAGCCTGATATCCCTAATTGCCCGGAGGGCAGCTAAGAGTCAACCCCTTTGCTGTGGGTCTGGAGTCACACGTAGGCCATAAAGATGGCACATTCTCTTCCCAGATAGAGTGTGCCAGATAGGAAGCTGCAGAAATTGCCAGGAACGTTACATTCCAATCTATTTACTCTGTTTACCTTTCAGAGGCTTTTAGGATTGATGAGGACACAGCCGTGATCACTACCACGAGGCTCCTGGAATCCTACGAGAGGTTTAATTTGACAGTGGTAGCCACAGACCGTGGTCGCCCACCGCTCTGGGGGACAACATTGCTGACGATTGAAGTGATTGACGTGAATGACAATCGGCCCATTTTCATTCGACCACCCAATGGGACAATACTGCACATCATGGAGGTGAGGAACCCACCCTGCCCACAGACAGCCCAGGCACAGGAGAACATTTTAAACATCAAAGTCCTTTTAGAGAATAAAGAAAGAGCTTAAAACTCCTTTTTTTTAATATAAAGGCAACATTGGGAATAGGCCATGAAAATAAAATCAAAATATTGCAGATGTTGGAGGTCTAAAATAAAAAGGACAACGCGCTGTGGAAATACAGTAGGTCTGGCAGCATCTGTGGAGAGAGGAACAGAGTTAACATTTCGAGTTGCATTCTTGTCGATCTTAAAAGCTTCTGAAAGGAAAGGGTGTAGGTGACTGACATGTAGCATTTGCAACAGTTGTTGGAGCTGTCTTATCTGACACAGAGGCTTTGCCACGCAGTAAAAACAGGTCCAACATGGCTTTAGTTACGTTAGACCTGAGACGTTAACTCTGTTTCTCTCCATGAGGTTTCTGAGTTTCTCCAGCACTTCCTGTTCTTATTTTAGGAAAAGGACAATAGCTTTTGTTTTCAGTATTGCACATTTATGGCTGCAGGAAGTGTATCTGTTTAGAAAGAATTAGATTGAGACAGAAGTCTGGAGTCGATTAAAGGCCATTCAGTCCACCAGTTTCATTCTAGCCAGAAATAAGTTTCATCGATACTGGAATTCCTGTATTTTTGAATATACCTGCTAACGAACAAGAAGCAGAAGTAGGCCACTCAACACCTCACACCTGCTCCATCATTCAATAGGATTGTGGCTGGTCTGATTGTGATCTTAAATCTGCATTTCTCCCTGATAACCTTTTACCCCCTTGATTGATTGACAAGAATCTATCTGCCCCACCTTAAAAATATTCAAGGACTGTGCTTCCACCACCTTTTCAGGAAGAGAGGCCCAAAGACTTACAACCTTCTCAGAAAATGATTTTGCCTCATTTCTGTTTTAAAGCAGTGACCCCTGATTTTTAAACCGTGACCTGTGATCAGTAGACTTGCAAACGCCCAGTCTGCATCAGTAGAGATATAAACAAATCTGGTAAATGTGCTTTTCATTCACTAGACTCATCCTAAAATGTAAAATATCCCACTTGAAATTCCATTACTGCTTAATTTTTATATCCATAAAAAGCGTGTATTTTGTTTCCTTTTATTTGTGCTTACACTAGCTATGCCTCTGTAAAGTCCTGCATTTTTTTGTTACTTTTTTTGTGGGAGTGGGCGCCAATGGCTGGGCCAGCATTTATTGCCTGTTCCTAATTGCCCTGGAGAAAGGTAGTGGTGATACGGCTTCTTGTATTGCGACAGCCCTTCATGTCTAACAACAGCTTCTGCGCTGTTGGCAAGGAAGTTCCTGGATTTTGACCCAATGACAGTGAAGAAACAGCAATATATTTCCAAGTCAGGATGGTGAGTGGCTTGGAGGGGAGCTTGCAGGAGGTGGTGTTTCGATGTATCTGCTGCCCTTGTCCTTCTCGATGGAAGTGTTTGGAAGGTGCTAACAGGTGAACCTTGCTGTAGTGCATCTTGTAGCTGGTACATACTGCTGCCACTATGTGTCAGTGGCAAAGGGAGTGAATGATGAAGATGGTGGATTTGATGCTGGCTTGTCCTGGATGGTATCAAGCTTCCTGAGTGTTATTGGAGCTGCCCCCATCCAGGCAAGTGGGGAGTATTCCATCACACTCCTGATGTATGCCTCGCAGTTGGTGAAATGGGTTTGGGGAGTCAGGAGGTGAGTTACTTGCTGCAGGATTCCCAGCCTCTGAGCTACTCTTGTATTGATGTGGCTGGTCTGGTTCAGATTGTGGTCCATCAGTAACCCATGGGGTGTTGATTTGGAATGAGCTGAGACCATGATACCTTCAGTTTTGTTGCTGTCAATCTTGTTTTCTTTTCAGGAGAGAGACGCAGGCTTTAATGTGTATGAGGTGCTGGCCACTGACAACGACGAAGGTTTGAATGGAGCGGTCAGGTATGGTTTTCTGAAGACAGCGGTCAACAGAGACTGGGAGTATTTCAGCATCGACCCTCTGAGTGGAATCATCAATACGACAGTGAGGCTGGACAGGGAGAGGCAGGCTGTCTATAATGTGAGTGATCTGTTAGGAAGGTGATCCCCATCCTTGGACACAAACCACTCTGATCATAGTAGAAGGTCTTATTTGGATTCTGCATTAGTGACAGGGGTGCCCTGATGACTGACCTGTGGATGTCTGAGAGAAGGTTTGTCCAGATCAGCAACAACAGCTTGAACCAGTTGGACAATCGGCCTGTAAGTTCTCCATAAAACATGAGAAAAGTAACCAACTGCATCTCAAAGTTTAGAATTCTTTGCAGCATGAAGTTCCTGGCTTTCAAGTGATTATTTGGAGCTAAATTGGCTGTGACACTCAGCAGTCAGATCTGTGCAGACACAAAAATACAACACAGTAATATAGCTGGCGTAAAAGCAGAAAATACTGGAAATACTCAGCAGGTCAGACATGGAGAGAGAGAAACAGGGAGGCTGTTTCAGGTTCATGTGCTTCAATTAGAGCTGATTATAACTGAGCTCCAAACACAGGCGTGGTAAAAACATCCTGCCATGCTTCCTGGAACCCCATCTCACAGCACTTCAGCCTGTCGCCGTGCAGAGTATAATTGCAGGTCAGATTGTAAAAGACCAAGCCATCTCCCTGGATACCATGAACTTAGGTTCCCTCCTGAGTGGAAAGAGGCCATTTGGCCCATCGAGTCTGCACCGACCCTCCAAAGAACATCCCATCCAGACCTACACCCCCTGCCCTATCCCTGTAACTCTGCATTTCCCATGGCTAACATACCTAGCCTGCACATTCCTGGACCCCAAGGACAACTTAGCATGACCAATCCACCCTAACCTGCACATCTTCGGAGTGTTGAAAGAAACCCACACGGACACGAGGAGAACGTGCAAATTGCACACAGTCGCCTGAGGCTGGAATCAAACCCAAGTCCCTGGAGTTGTGAAGCAGCAGTACTAACCACTGAGGCACTTTATTTAATTGCAAAGCCAAGCAACCTCCCCCAACCCCTACACAAACTCCGGATGTTACACAATCTCATCAGGTGAGTGTAACATTTGGGCAGAGCTCTTTCCTGTGTTACTACACAAAGTCCAGCCAGCTCCATACCCCAGGTCTAGTAAACTACTGAAAATCAATTTAACTGCATTCTTAAAAATCAGACAGCACACTTGATTAAGTGATTAGTGAGATGCAGTTGGTTACTTTTCTGATGTTTTGTGGAGAACTTACAGGCCGATTGTCCGAGTTGCAGTGGCTCTAGGCCCGAAACATCAGCCTTCCTGCTCCTCTGATGCTGCTTGGCCTGCTGTGTTCATCCAGCTCTACACCTTGTTATCTCTAGGCCGATTATCCAACTGGTTCAAGCTGTAGTTATTGATCTGGACAAACCTTCTCTCAGACATCCACAGGTCAGTCATCAGGGCACCCCTGTCACTAATGATTGAGATAACAAGGTGTAGAGCTGGATGAACACAGCAGGCCAAGCAGCATCAGAGGAGCGGGAAAGCTGATGTTTCGGGTCTGGGCCCTTCTTCAGAAAGGTTAACTGACCTGCTGGGCTTTTAGCCACTGTTCACCAGCAGATACTAAGAGTGAGTGGGTCTTGTTTTATACTTGGCTTCATTACTGCCATGGATGAACTTTTAGCACAGCTTCTAAATATAGGTATGTGATCATTTGGATCATAAATTATGGCTGGCTCTGATAGTCCTCAGCAGTTAATCAATCATTTTGGAGAAGGAGGAAAGGTAGGTATCCCCACTTTGGTTCTCCAAGTGAGTATCGACACCACTGAGTTAACAAAGTTGGACAGCAAGTGGGGATCGTGGCAGGATTCACCGTAAACAGAATCTACTTCTAAAAAAAAGGTCTTTGCAATTGATGGCAAACAGAAGTCTCAACTGAGACTACAGTAAAATCTCTCAACAAAAGCAAAGTGATTCCTGCAGCTAAATGCAGTGAGTGGGGAATAGTTTTATTGCACAATGTGCCCAACCACCCAACTTCACTCACTCTGGGCAAGACTGAGGAGAGAAATGAACCAATCACCCCTATTTTCTGGCCTGAATGTTGTAGTTGTTATGTAGTGAAGGAGCAGGATGAGATCAGTGAGCATACTCCTTATGGATTCTTTGTTTTCTTTCCAGCTGATTCTCTTGGCATATGACCTTGGGCACCCTGTGCCCTATGAGACCACCCAACTTCTGCAAGTTGCTCTGGATGATATTGATGATAATGAGCCCCTCTTCCTCAAACCACCGGTAAGAACATTTCAACGAACTTAGCAAATATGTTTCAATACCATGTATCAGTTGGGTTCCAGGAGCCATGGGGAATTTTTCTTTACTCATTCACGGGATGAGGGCATTGCTGGTGAGACAGCATTTATTGCCCATCCCTAATTGCCCAGAGGGCACTTCAGAGTCAACCACATTTCTGTGGGTTCTGGAGTCACATGTAGGCTAGACCAGGTAAGGGTGACAGTTTCCTTCCCTAAACGACATTAGGGAACCAGATGGATTTTTCCCAACAATCGACAATGGGCTCATGGTCATTAGTAGACTCTTACTTCCAGATATTGTTTGAATTCAAATTCCACCATCTGCCATGGCAGGCTTCGAACCTGGGTCACCAGAACGTTACCTGGGTGTCTGGATTGACAGTCCAGCAATAATACCACTAGGCCATTGCTTCCCCATTGTATATTGTATTGGGAATTGTATATTGTTTATTGTGGAGCACAGAAGGAGATTGTTCAGGCTGATTTTCTGCATGTGTTGCCACTTAGTCCCGTTCTTATGTTCTCCCCTACCACCTGACAAGTAATTCCACTTCATATAATGGTATTACCATCCCTGAATGCCCCACCATCAACGTCTTGAGGGTCACCATTGACCAGAAAATGAACTGAACTCGCCACATAAACACAATGGCTACAACAGCACAACGGGTCAAATACTAGGAATATTGCTGTGAATAACTCACCTCCTGACTCCCCAAAGCCTGTGCATCATCTACAAGGCACAAGTCAGGAGTGTGATGGAATACTCCCCACTTGCCTGGATGGGTGCAGCTCCAACAACATTCAAGAAGCTTGACACCATTCAAGGCAAAGCAGCCCACTTGATTGGCACCACATCGACAAACATCACTCCCTCTGCTACTGACACAGATCCTCAGTATTTTGCTTTATTTAATATATCGCTATTGCTGTGGATAGATTTTGTCCACTCTCTCCCTTTAAGGGAAGTTCTTCATTCACGAATTGCGGTCAATAACAGAAAAAACTGCACCTCTTCGATCCACAAGTCACATCATCACTTAGCTGAGTCAGTATTTTTTATTTCTGTTTGGAAACCACACACAATGCTTTTTGCGACTCACTGTCAGTACAAACCTTCGTGACGGAAACAGAAGACAATATGTTTATGACCGTTGCCAAGCGCAATGTAGTCAGACTCACTGTTCAACTCCAGATGAAGAGGTGTAGGGCCCAGTGAATATTCTAGCCTTGTAACTCAGTCTAAACTCGTAGAGTCTTAGGCACTGTCTTTCAGATGGAATATTAAATAGAGATCCCCACCTGCTCCACCAGGAGATTATTTCTTCTACATTACTACTGGAAGAGAGCCAGGGGGTTCCACTGGCTGTCTTGACATTCCAGTGCAGTGCAGAAGCATTGCTACACCAACAGAAGAGCAGCCTTTCAGAGGGGATGCTAACCCAAAGCCCCATCTGCCTGCTCAGGTGGATGTAAATGAAGCCATGGCATTATCTCAAAGGAGAGGACCATGAAATTTGCCATGGTGTCCTCATAGCATCGTAGTTATGTCACCGACTGAGTGATCCCAAACCTCAGGCAAGGGTTCTGAGGACATGGTTTTGAATCCAGCTGTGGCAGACAGTCCCATTTGAATAAAATTTTTAAAACTCCAGGATTTAAAAAGTGACCATGTACCCACTATTTATTGTTGTAAAACCCATCTGGCTCACTACTGTCCTTTTGAGAAGGCAAGCCTTAACTGCTGATAAATGCTGGCCTGTCCAGCAAGGCTCACATCCCATGAAGGAATAATAAAGAAAACATTGAAACAAATTATCTGGTCACAATCACATTGCAGTCTGTGGGAGCTTAAATTGGTTGCTGTGAAGTGACTTCAGACACCATTGGCTGTAAAGATTTTGAGATGTCCAATGGTCACGAAAGGTGCTATATAAATGCAAATGTATTTCATTCTTTTCATTAGCCATCAGCCACAATCGTTCAGGTCATTGTTAATGTGATCTTGCTGTGTGCAGAATGGCTACTGACAATCACTGAGATATTTCTGAAAAGCGCAATAAAGTACAGAGTGATAGTTCCAGTCAAAAGGAACCCTTCAGCCCATCTAGTTCAGCCATCCCCATACTTCCCCTCTTGTGTTTTCACTAACTCAGGAAGTCACTTGACAAGAATGTGCAGGATTTCATTTTGAAACTCATTAAAGTTGCGCATTCCCCACCCTTGCTGATAAACTGTTCCACATACTTAACCATCTGTTAGCAAAAATATTCCTCCTGTATTTAGCAGTGTGGCATTCTTGACAACTGGTTGCCTTGCTATCTTATTCCTGAGAACCTTGGGAGGTACATAAGCAAGTACTTGACTCTGACATGCCCTCGTTAGCCCTGCACCTTGTGTAGCACCTTCACTTCAAGTAGACCGATCCCATACTCTGAATGTAAAGAGAGTGAGAAGCAACCTCGTTGACAGAAATGAGGGGTCTTGACAGGGTGGATGTTGAGAGTTGACTTCGCCAAGGCTGGTGAGTCTGGAACCAGGGCATCATACTCAAAAGCTAAGGAATCAGCCACTTAAAACTGATGTGAGGTCCTTCAATCAGTGTGTTTGAATTTTCTACCCTATAGGGTGGTAAACACTCAGTTCCTGATATATTTCATGGCTAAGATTGATAAATCTTTAGACATCAAGGGAATTAAGATTTAGGGGAGTGGGTAAGAAAGCAGAGTGGTGATAGAAGATCAGCCATGATCTCACTGAATAGCACAGCAAGCTCAAAAAGCTGAATGGCCTCCTCCGGTTCCTATTTCTAATGTTCTGAAATTACCACAAATCACAACCCTAGAATACCTATGGACACATTAAACTTTAATTAAAACATGTTCGCAATTTGAGAAAAGAAGACATAGGGCCAATAGTTGACAGCAGATGTAAATTTATAGTCTGTCTGGACAGAGAGAGAGAGAGAGAAAATCCCTGAGAAGGTGTCATAGAAACTTCAAAGAGATGGATTTAAAAGGGAAGAAATGGATTACAATCTGAATTGTAATCTCCCGGGAGTTATTTCACACTGTGAACATGATTGGAGAAAAGACAACCATCTAGGCTAGGAAAATATTTTGTGTAATCCCCTTTCAAGAACACACAAGAACAGGCATTAAAAGCCAGTTCAGCCCTGCTGTATGTGTGTGTGCTAGTGGAGGAAGGTCATAGAGTTGTACAGCACGGAAACAGATCCTTCGGTCCAACTCGTCCACGCCGACCCGATATCCTAAATTAATCAAGTCCTATTTGCCAGAACTTGGCCCAAATCCTTCTAAACCCTGCCTATTCATGTATTCATCCAGATGCCTTTCAAATGTTGTAATTGTACCTGTCTCCACCACTTCCTCTGGCAGCTCATTCCATACACGCACCACCCTCTGTGTGAAAAAGTTTCCCATATGCCCTTTTATATCTTTCCCCTCTCACCTTAAGCCTATGCCCTCTAGTTTTGGACTCCCCGACCCTGGGGAAAAGATCTTGTTTATTTACCCTATCCATGCCCCTTATGATTTTACAAACCTCTATAAGGTCACCCCTCAGCCTCTGATGCTCCAGGGAGAGTAGCCCCAGTCTATTCAGCCTTTCCCTATAGCTCAGACTGTGCTCATGAAGTAAGGTGTTTATACATGCCAGTGGAATGAGATACCCTTGTGTGCTATCCTGGGTCTGAGTGATAGTAATGCTGTGAAGGTCACAGTTGAAGAATTATACACTGGACATCCTTACGTTTCAGGTAGAGGACTATCTAACTCTTTTGTCAGCAAACCAGAAAAAAAGAAACAGGACAAAAGGATTTCAACTAACTATAAAGCCAAAAGTCTCAAAATCAACTGTTTATCTATCGACATTCCAGTGCCTTCTTTATGAATGATCCAGAGAGACTGATTAATCCTTTCTTTAACCTTTACTTTTTTGTTGGACTCATTTTTCATTTCTTCTCACATTTTGTAACTGAAAAACTCACAATAACTAATAGATTAAAGACTTGTGTAAATTGTCTACTTTTGAAACATTTGTTCATTTGGGTCTGGGAGAAATCTATCCATAAAGGAAGGGATCCATCTGTAAAGTAGAACAACAGAGAGGTCAGGTGAATAAAGAAGGAAAACCATGTCATCCCTGTTCACCGGGAAATTTAACAACTGGGGAATTCTGTCTGGCAGGTTAGTGAATGGGGAACCTCACCGAGGTATCTGGTCATGACAATTATGTCTCTTAGTAATATCTTGCACAGTGAGTGTCAGGATGTAAATTTTTCTTTTTTTATCTTGGCACGTTACATTTGATTGATCTTCCTGTTCCAAAAAGAAAGATGTGCCTTAAGTTTTAGCCCCAGAAATGTCACAAAGTGGCTTTTTTAAAATTCATTCATGGGTTTGAGGGTATCTCTGACCAGGCCAGCATTTATTGCCCATCCCTAATTGCCTAGAGGGCAGTTAAGAGTCAACCACATTGCTGTGGGTCTGGACCAGGTAAGGATGGCAGTTTCCTTCCCTAAAGGACACTAGTGAACCAGACGGGGTTTTCCTGACAATTAGCTCATGGTCATCATTAGACTCTTAAACTCCAGATTTTTATTGAACTGCAATTCCAACATTTGCCGTGGCAGGATTTGAACATGGGTTCCCAGAACATTACCTGGGTCTCTGGATTTACAGTCCAGCAATAATACCACCAGATCATTGCCTCCACCTACTCACACACTTTGTAGTTAGGTGTGAATGTGGAAAAGATGTTTCCTTTACGGGAGAGATTACTCTAGGACACAGTTTTAAAATAAGGGGTTGCCTATTTTAGACAGAGATGAGAAGGAATTATTTTTCACAGAGCATCGATAATCTGTGAAATTCTCCTCCACAGAGAGCACTGGAGGCTGGGTTATTGAGTATGGTCAGGGCTGAGTTATATAGATTCTTAATTGACAAGGGAATCAAAGGATATGGGGTAAACCGAGAAACTGAGTTGAGGACAGGATCTTATTGAATGGCAGAGCAGGGCTATAGGGGCCGAATGGCCTACTCTTAATTCGATATTCACAGGGAAATGTACACAACATGTAAAACCCCTGAACTGGAAAGCATAGGGAAGAGATCCAAGGCTGGTTGGAGAGTTGGTTGTTTGTGTTAAGTAAGCGTTTGTTCAGCTTTAAGTGTTCTTGCTCCTTTTCTCAGGCTATATTGTGTGTTGTAAATTCAGTGCTGCCTCTGTGTTTTATTAGAGGAGTTTGCAGTACCAGCTGCTGTTTGTGGCTGAACATTCTGATCCTGCCACCATTGTGGGGAATGTAACTGGAGCAACCGATGCTGATGAAGGATCCAATGCAGTTGTCTATTATTTCATAGCAGGTAGGTTCCAGGACTGTTGGCTGTGCCTTTAATGCTCACTAAAACCCTCACTCCTTCCCAGTCCCTCAGCTGCCCACTCTGATACTGAGAAGGTTGGTCCTTTGACCCTTTCAGACTGCGTCAAGCCTTGCCAGCCTCTTATCCCCACTTCCATAAAATTCAATCTTTGCAAAGCTCTGCCACTTGTGACCTGTTCTGTTCTTCCATGACTTCGCCAGTTCTTGCTGGCTTTCCTGAAGAGATTGTATTTAAATTCTGTACCCTCCTCATTTCAATCTTTACATTTCAAAACCCTGTTTGCCTATTTCTCAAGTTCCTTCAGCCCTCAAACATCTTGTAAATGCTGACCTCCTGGTCAATGTCCATCCACCGTAGTCTCGCTGCAGCCTCAAAGCCTATCTCTCCATCTGACTCCTCGATGCCCCTCCTATTTTCTACATTCCTGACACGTCCTGTTTGTAATGTTCGTCCTTGAAGTGCCAACATGTTTCTCAGCTTAATGGTGCTCAACAAATTAAAATTGTTGAACTTGTCCGCCATTAACTCTCAATCGCATTCTTTACTCTACAGTCCTTGGTGAATGCCACTTACTGCACCATTTCAGTTCCATACCAGCATTGGTGCTTAACTGGGGATGGAACCCAACAGTGGACTCAAGGCAAAATAAAAACCGAAAGAACTGCAGATGCTATAAATCAGGAACAAAAACAGAAGTTGCTGGAAAAGCTCAGCAGGTCTGACAGCATCTGTGAAGAAAAATTCAGAGTTAACATTTCGGGTCTGGTGACTCTTCTGAGTTCCGAGGAAGGGTCACAGGACCCGAAACGTTAACTCTGATTTTTCTTCACAAATGCTGCCAGACCTGCTAAGCTTTTCCAGCAACTTCTGTTTTTGTTCGTAGCCTCAAGGCATCTAGAAATCACACAGAGATGAATTTAATCAATGATTCTTACAGTCAATAAGCACAAGTTCAGTCCCTTTAATTTCACCTTAACTATTCACACTCTTTATATCCTGTAGAGAAATGGCAGCAATATGTACCATCTGTAAGATCCACTCAGTCACTCACTTCATTTGACAGGAACTTCCAAAGTGGCTTCTGTCACCTAGACTTACAGGGGCAGCAGATAGATGGGAACACCACCATCTACCACTTCCCCTCCAAACCACTCACCGTCCTGACTTGGAAATATATCACCGTTTCTTCACTGTTAGCTGGGTCAAAATCCTGGAATTCCCTCTCTAATGCCATTGTGGGTCAATGGTTCATGAAAGCAGCAAACCACCCCCTTCTCCAGGGTAATTAGGGATGGGCAATAAGTGCTGGCACAGCCAGTGGTGCTCACATCCCATGCACAAAAATTTTCCCATTTCGGTTTAAATTCTGGTCACAGTATAGAATAACCAAGCTTTAGAACGAGACTTGGCATCAACAGGAATTCTAAAGACTGACAAGAACCCGACCGCAAACTTTATAGGAGTAAAATCACAGAAAACAGTTAAAAAATGACAACATTGAGCACTTCAGTTTATTAATTAAGTACAAAATAGAAGGAACATGAGAACCAAAGGTTGTTTGGACAGTCTTGTCAGTCAGTGGCTCATCGGGAATCTGTTCATGTTCCAGCTAGGATGGGAAGGCAGGGCATCACAAGGCTAGAGGTTTGGAGGTTGGATACCAGACATAAAACCTCCAGGAAGGGATGGAAACACCAAAAATCACACAACCTAAGGGCAAAAGCACAAAGAGCTTACCACAGTGGCCCTTTCCAATACATAATAACGTAACAACTGCAGAAATAATTTATTAAACTTGTTTGTCAATGCAGCTGGAGATCCCGATAACAACTTCCAGCTGAATCGAGATGGGCTGCTTAAGGTATTGAATGATCTGGACCGAGAAACCAACCCGTTCTACGCTATCGTTGTCAAGGCTTCCAGTAACCCGAACTGGAAACCCCCAACGGGGCAAAACCAGCTCTTTGACCCCAGCACTGATCTCACCCTCCAGGAAGTCCGCATCTTCCTGGAGGATATTGATGACCAGCCGCCAAGGTTCATCAAGTCAGAGTACACAGCTGGTGAGTTTCCAACTTTCAGTCTGGTTGTGGTTTGGGTGGCAGAAAGAGCAGGGACATGTGGTCTGTTTGTGTGACAAATGTGTGAATGGGGGAGAGAAGCAGAGGAATCTAGAAACACAAATACAGAACCCACAAAAAATAGCAACTCAGATTAGTAAGATCGTTTAGAAAAATTATCAACAGCAATCAGTCCGATAGAGATACAGTTGAAAAGTAGACATTTGTTTTGGTAGGCTGAAGACTATCAATGGATTTATCAAACTGGTCATTGTTTGATTGCAGTGTTGTATGAAGCAGCATGTCTCTTGTCATGGAGACAACTCAATGGCTGTGGTATTAGGGGTTATCCATTTAATAGAAGACCTTCCATACTGCAATGAATACTGGGAAAGTATATCCGCCATTGCCATTGTTCATTTTCTCTGAATAAATACTGGCTTCTTAACAATGTCTGCAAAGGGCTGGATTTTTTTATGTCTAAAGTAGAAAAGTCACACTAAACTTATAAAAAATCCTTGGTTAGACCTTGCTTGGAGCACTGTGAACAGTTATGTCTCCATATTGTAAAAAATGGACAGAGGCACCACAGAAGATGCAACACAGATTCAGAAGAATGGGAGTAGACTGAGAGGAAAGGCCGAACAGGCTGGGTCCTTTTCTTTTCCTGTGTAAAGAGAAGACAGGGCGTGACCCAATAGCAAACACGTTGGTCATCTTAAAGTATGGGAGGTGTGGAGTTGATTGCATTTGCTGGTAGTTCTAAAGCTGGAGGCCACAACCACAAGGTCATCACTAATAATTCCAGTCTGGAATATTCCAGAGAAGTTTCCTTACCCAGAGGGTGATGAAAATGTAAAACTTGTTATCACGTGGAGTGCCTGTGATAAATAGCATTCACGAGGAAGCTAGATAAACACATGAAAAAGAAAAGGAACAGAACAATATGCTGAAAGGGAGAGCTGAAGGTGGGGAGAGGCTCATGTCCCCACCAGCATTGAGCAGGTGTCCCAGGTTTCTATTTCTGTGAATATCATATGTTAGAGTCATAGAGTCATACAGCACGGAAACAGACCCTTTGGTCCAACTTGCCCATGCTGACCATATATCCTAAATTAATCTAGTCCCACTTGCCAGCATTTGGCCCATTTCCCTCTAAACCCTTCCTATTCACGTACCCATCCAGATGCCTTTTAAATGTTGTAATTGTACCAGCCTCTACCACTTCCTCTGGTAGTTCCATGCACTCACGACCCTCTGTGTGAAAAAGTTGCCCCTTAGGCCCCTTTTAAATCTTTCCCCTCTCACCTTAAACCTATACCCTCTAGTTTTGGACTGCATTACCCTGGATAAAAGATCTTGGCTAATCACCCTATCCATGCCCTCTATAAGGTTACCCCTCAGCCTTTGACATTCCAGGGAAAATAGTCTATTGAGCCTCTCCCTATAGCTCAAACCCTCCAACCCTGGCAACATCCTTGTAAATTTTTCTGAACCCTTTCAAGTTTAACAACATCTTTCCTATTAACAAGGAGACCAGAATTAAATGCAAAAGTGGTCTAACTACAGCCACAGCATGACATCCCAACTCCAAAATAGTTACAGAGATAGTCTAGGCCCAAAACATCAGCCTTCCTGCTCCTCTGATGCTGTTTGGCCTGATGTGTTCATCCAGCTGTACACCTTGTTATCCAAAATAGTTACTCTGTTTTCCAGTAGTGTGTTTCAATTAATCCTTTATTAAACATTTATGCTGAGGATACTGCAACAGCCAAACCAATCGCAGATTCAAGAGAGAAAATCAGTAGCTTTTTGTTCATGATAAAGTAGCTGTAACTCAAAACATGTCAGTGGTTTTGAGGTCATCTGTTGAAAGAGTACTTCAGACAAATGATTACCCTGGCTGACAGAATACATCCAGCCTCTTGATAGAGTTTGATAGGAAAGCAGTATTTATTCAGAGAAAATAAACAATGGCAATGGCAGATATAGTTTCCCAGAATTCATTGCAATATGGAAAGTCTTCCATTAATTGGATAACACCTAATGCCACAGCTATTGAATTGTCTCCACATGACAAGAGATATGCTGTTTTATAAAACACTGCAATCAAACAATGACCAGTTTGATAAATCCCTTGACAGTCTTCGGCCTACCAACAAAAGATCTAATTTGTTACTTATTATTTTGGCCCCAACTAAATCTCAGGCATTTAAATAAAACAAAGATCTGAAACAAGAACAGAAATTGCGAGAGGAACTCAGCAGGTCTGGCAGCATCTGTGGAGAAAAAGCAGAGTTGATGTTTTGAGTCCAGTGACCCTTCATCAGAACGCTTGTGAACAGTTCTGAAGAAGGGTCACTGGACTCAAACTATTAACTCTGCTTTCTGTCTACAGATGCTGCCAGACCTGCTGAGTTTTTCTGTTTTCTGTTTTAAATCAATTTCTGTTTTAAATCAAAGGCATTGGTGGCTGATAGAAACTGCTGACTTGCATGTGTGGTTTTAAATCATTTACCTGCATTAATTTCAGTTCATGATCAAAACACTTTCTGTACACTCCTCCCGCAGCGCAGGTAAATGTACTTTGCATCTGTCTGATTAACAAACATCTGCCTCCAATCTGGAAGTGAAACACTCCCCACTGTGGTCTACAAATCATCATTTTTACCCACAACTGCACAAGAAAGGTTTCAGTTCACATGAGAATACAAGCACTAAAGCCACAGGATCAGTGTCTAGTACTCACTTACTAATCAAAATTGCAATTAACCATTTCTGCTATCCACATTTGTCACAGGAGGTGAGTGCCAGACATATTAGATAAAGCAAACCTAAATGAGGCAATCTTTATATTGACTCCTTTATTTGCAAGTCATATTATTATTTTCATAGAATCCCTACAGTGTGGAAGCAGGCCATTCAGTACATCAAGTCTGCACTGACCCTTTGAAGATCATTCCACCCTATCACTGCATTTCCCATGGCTAACCCACCTGACCTGCACATCCCTGGACACCATAGGGCAACTTAGCATGGCCAATCCACCCTAACCTGCACATCTTTGGACTGTGGGAGGAAACCAAAGCACCCAGAGAAAACCCACTCAGACACGGGGAGAATGTGCAAACTCCACACAGACAGTCACCCAAGGATGGAATTGAATCTGGGTCCCTAGCATTGTGAGGCAGCAGTGCTAACCACTGAGCCATCATACCACCCCTTTTTAAAAAAATGCTAACCTATATTGTTGTTGCTGGCTGGAAAGCTGAGCTTATTTGCATCTAATGGCCTTTTAGTGTAGGCTGTGAATATCCAGGTGATGATGCTTCCTCTGCATTGTCTGTGTGTCTGTGTGTGTGTGTCTGTGTGTGTATGTTTGTGTGTGGGTGGGTGTGTGCACGCACAAGTGTGTGGCTGTGGCTGTGTATGTGTGTGTGTGTGTGTTTGTGTGTGTGTGTGGGTGTGTGTGTGTGTGGGGGGGGGAGGTGTCTGTGGTGTGGGTGGGTGTGTGTGGGTGTGTGTGGGGGGGGGGGAGCATGGTGTGTCTGTGTGTGTGGGTGTGTGTGTGTGTGGGCGTGTATGTGTGTGTGTGTTTGGGTGTGTCTGTGTGTGTGTGTGTGTGCGCTTGTCGGTGTGGATTACACTAATACTGATGAACCTCTTTGCTGCCTGTAGGTGTTGCTACTGACGCCAAAGTAGGCTCCGAGCTGGTCAGAGTGGAGGCTTACGATGCCGATATTGGAAACAACAGCCTTGTCTTCTATCAAATTGTTAACATCCGCTACTATCAGCTCCAGTTCAATGAGTCTGAAGATGTGGGGAATGTCTTCATAATTGGTAGGATCTCAAGAGATGTGCATTTCTGTAAACCATGCTACCAGCTGTGGACCAAGATATTACTAATATTAGGGCTTAACAAGTCGGTGTGAATGACTTTTGTCCCATGTTTTCACACAAAAGAAAAAGCAGACTTTCTAGAACAACATCCCAGGCAGCTTCATAGAGGTATAATTATGTGAAAACAGATGCTGGGAAGGAAATATTGAAAGGGATGACCAGAATGATTGGGTCAAAACTGGGTTTGAAGGAATAAAATGATCAGTAGCCACTTGATGCCCGAGCTCAGAATTCCCTCCTTAAACCTCCATCTCTGGACCTCACTTTCGTCCTTTAAGATGCTGCTTAGACCCTCCGCCTGCACAGGTATTTAGTCACCTGTAGTAACATCTATATATTGGCTTTGTGTCAAATATTGTTTGATTCTAATCCTTGTGACTCAGTTATATTTTTTGTTAAAGCTACTACGTAAGTGTAATTAGTCGTGTATCCACAGAAACGGCAGTGTCTGGGATGCACAGGCCAGGCATGCCTCACGTAGTCCCATTACTTTGGTTTGGGGATCCTGCTTGAAACTACACAAAGAGAAATCTACAGAAATTCATCAATTGTTTACAGCAATGTGAGTGAGGAGAGTCACAAACCAAGCCTTTGCCCACCTCCCATTTCAGTCCTGGAAGCAAAAAGTGCTGGAGGTCACAGCGGGTCAGGCAGCACCAAGGAGAGAGAGCAAGCTCACGTTTCTAGTCTCGATGACTCTTCATCAGAGCTGAAGTGAAGTATGGAAGGGGCAGCGTTTGTGCAGTAGTGGAGGGGGGACGGAGTGCTGAGGGAGAACGTGTGCTGATAGCGCAGATTAAGTGATCGGAATGTGAGAATGGCAGAACTATTATGTAGCCAACTGCTAAACAGGAAGGAACAGACAGTCCCACTGGGGTAGGGGGAAGGCAGACAAGACATGGTGGCATAGAATGTAACAGCTTAAACTAAAGGAAAGGGAAGAAAGGAGTGAGTTCACAATCTGATGGTATTGAAGGTCCTGAAGGCCGTAAAGTACCTAGTCTGAAGATGAGATGTTGTTCCTCCAGTTTGCACTGTGATTCACTGGAACACTGCAGCATGCCGAGGATAGACACATGGGCATGTGAGCAGGGCGCTGTGTTAAAATGACCAACTACAAGAAGGTTGGGGACCAGAGGTGTTCTGCAAAGTGGTCAGCCAGTCTGTGTTTGGTTTCTGTAATGTGGAGACCTCACTGTTCAGTCAAGCTCAGGGTCAGCTCATACAATGGTGAGGTGACAGGGAGACAGCAGGGGAGCTTGCTATCACTGGCACCTCCTCCTAGTTTGGCAGCGAGAGACTTCTCAGCAAGCTGTGAGGAGGTTTGCACTGTTAAAAAAATCTTTGATTTCCTCTTTCGCAGGGGAGCAGGATGGCATTGTGAGGACCTTTGACCTCTTCACGGCCTACAACCCAGGCTATTTCCTGGTGGATGTCATGGTTTCGGACCTGGCTGGACACAATGATACGTCGGTGATTGGGATCTACATCCTGAGAGATGACCAGCGTGTTAAGATTGTCATCAATGAGATCCCAGAGAAGGTGCGGGAGTTTGAAGAGGAGTTCATTAAGCTGCTCTCCAACATCACTGGCGCCATTGTCAACACAGATGATGTGCAGGTAACACCCTTTGCCAGCTCATTCAGGTCTTGGAAGCTCATTGCACCAAGAATGAAGAGTGCATCATCCGTTCAGTTTCTCAAACAAACCTTGCAAGGAAATAGCACTTGAATGCAGCAACAGTTTCATAGAGAGTAGTGTAACTATCAACTCATTGTGCAAGAATTCAGAGGCCCAGACCGAGCAGCCAGAGAGTGAGGGTTCAGCTACTGTGTCTGAGGAAGGGAGAGGAGACAGAAGAGAAACCAGAGCTGAAGTTGTAGAGCAATGCACTGGCATACAGGCCTCAAGGACGGTTATCAACCCTGCAGGAATGTCCTGGGGTATATCCAGAATTAAGAACTAGAATCTCCAGCAATACTGCTGCCAGCACAAGACAAGACAAGTCAAAGGTCTGTTAAAAAATGATGCATTTTAAAAAAATAAACTTTCAACTCTTGTCCACCAGTTAGAAAAAGATTGGATCATGAGAGGTTTGATATTTTTGAATCAGCCTGTTCAGAAATGCTATTACACACTCTCTGGAGCAGGTGGGATTTGAACTCAAGTCTTCTGCCTCAGAGGTAGGGACGCTACCACTGCTCCGCAAGAACCCTATTCATGGGGGGGTGGGGAAGGGGTTAAAATAAACTGAAATTCAAGATCAGCAATTGTCCAACTGGATATTGCAGAGACAGTTGGCTTTTCACACTGCGGATTGGAAAGGTGGGGCATCTGGCAATCAATTGCTGGATTTCGATACAGTGCCACATCACAGACTTGCAAGGAAAGTTCCAGGCTATGGGGTAAAAAGGGACAGGAGTAACATGGATATGAAAATGACTGATAGGAGATAGAGAGAAATGGTTAATGGATATTCTTTGGGCTGCAGGAAGGTTTGTAATGGTGTTGGTTTTTTGATAATTATCACTTCAATAAATGATCCACATCTTGGTTTATATGGGAAAATTTCAAAGCCTGTGGATGACACAGAATTTGGGAGAATGTTAAAGTGTAGGACTTCAAAAATTCAAGTTGGTAGAGCGGGCCAATAAATGGCAGATGAAATTTGACATAAATAAATGTGAGGTCATTACAAAGAACGGAGAAAGACAGTATCAAATAAAGGGTACTATGTCAACAATGTGCAGGAACAGAGAAGCCCTTGGTGTGTATGAACATGTCATTAAAGGTAACAGGACAGGCAGAGAGAGCTGTTAACAAACATACAGGTTTCATAGACATAGAGTGAGTGTGTGAGTTGCCATAGTTTTACCAGACCATTGGGCTGCTCTTTCATTAGAGAGACTTACCTGGTGGTGGTTTAACCTGAAGGCCACATACCTCAGGCAAGGAGAGTCCTTTGTTGTCACCTCTTCCAGTGCAGGAATTGAACCCATGCTGTTAGCATCACACTACCTCACAAACCAACTGAGCTACATCAACCCCCAGAGGATAAGAGCAGGGAGGTTAGGACAAATGTATATAATGTTTGCCAGAAGCTGGAATACTGTGTAAAATTCTGGGCACCACATTAGAGGAAGGATGCCAATGCATTGGAAGGAGCACAGAAGTTTATGAGAATGGTTTCACGGGTGAGACATTTCTGTTATGAGGAACGTTTGGAGAAATTGGGACTGTTTGCCAAAGAGAAGGGAAGGCTAAGAGGAGATTTGACAAAGTGGATAGGGAGAAACTGTTCACAATCCTAAATGGGTTGAGAAGGGTTGGGGGGGATACAGTTTTTAAAGTGTTTTGCCAAAGAAGCAAATGCAAGGTGAGAAGAAACATTTTCACTCAGCGAATATAGTCTTTTTCCCCAGGGTGGAGGAATCCAAAACTAGGGGGCATAGGTTTAAGGTGAGAGGGGAAAGATTTAAAAAGGACCTGAGGGGCAACTTTTTCACGCAGAGGGTGGTGAGTGTATGGAATGAGCTGCCAGAAGAAGTGGTGGAGGTGGGTACAATTACAACATTTAAAAGGCACCTGGACGGTCACATGAATAGGAAGGGTTTAGAGGCATATGGGTGAAAAGTTGGTAAATGGGACTGCTCTGCATGGACAGGTGGGACTGAAGGGTCTGTGTCTGTGCTGTAACACTCTGTGATTCTCTATGAGCGGTTGGGATCTGGAATACATTGCCTGGAAGTGTGTTGGAGGACAGGTTCAGTGCAGGATTGGAGAGGGCATTGGATTTAAATAGAAACAATACACAAGACACAGGAATAAAGCAGAAGATTGACTCTGTAAAAACACTGAGAGAGCTGGGTGCAGCCATGAGTGCTGAATAGCTTCCTTCTGCACCGTAACAATTGTGTGGTGGAGTTGGGGCAGTCAGGCCGGAGATAACATTGTGTGTCTCCAGGAACATGTCCAACCAGAGAGTTGGCAACCATTGCAGGGTAGTGTTAATCAGCAGATAACCAGAACCAGGGTAGGGAGTGGCACAGCTGGGGTTGTAGGAGGGTTCTTGGCACAGGTAGGATCAGTTAATCACCATGGAGACAGTCTCAAAAGGACCACTGATAGATAAATCACAATATGGATAAATCACAACCTGTAACTCACAACTTTCTGTATTGACCAGAGTTCATGTTTCATGTCTTTGTTCACAGTTTCACGTAGATCAGAAGGGCCGAGTGAATTTTGCTCAGACCGACGTGCTGATTCATGTGGTGGATAGGGAATCAAACCGGATCTTGGATGTGGAGAGGTGAGTGGCCTCTTTACCCCAGGGCAGGGCTGTTCTTACCGCTGTCGTTAGAACTGTGCATGGATCCCATCAACCCCTCACAGCACCAGGATTTCGAGGGGTCTCTGTTCACTCGATTGTTTGTAGAGAATCGGATGGAAGTGGATTGCAAGGGAATGCGGAAAAGTTAAAGGAAAAGAAGGCAGTTTGACTGAAAACAGCTTGCATTTATACCAGCATCTGCAACATGGCAGAGCCCATTTTCCATTTGGGAAAGGCGAAGGAGAAACCGTGTGGGAGAAAACGAAAGGGTATTTGCCACCCCGTGGTTGTGCGATGGCTTCTATAGTGGAGCTCACTCCACCTGAGGTGGCTGCAAGCAAAAAAAAGGACTTGTATTTCTATAGCACCTTTTGCTATCTCAGAAAATCTCACAGTGCTGTACACCCAATGAAGCCCTTTACATGCATATATAATCTGAGCAGAAGTACGCCATTCCGCCCCTCAAGCTTGCTCTGCCATGCAATAAGATCATGGCTGGTCCTGTTTGTGTTTTGGATTTCACATTCCTATGCATCTCCCAATAAGGTTTGATTCTGCAGCTAAATCTACCTGCACCTTTAAAATAATCAGTGACCCGCACCCAACCCCGGCCTTCTGAGTTTTTAAAATTTTGGCGGGCCCGTGAAAAGATTCTGCCAGATTGTCGCCAAAACATTAATAGCACTGCACAGCAACAGTCATCGGGATAGAGTGAATGATAGTGTCAGAAATGGAATTGGGGATTCAGTATCAAGAGAAGTGTGACAGGCCAGAGACCGCAAGAGAACGTCCTGTTTGATTGCAGTCACTGCCAACAGCCGCAGTCATAAGTGGTTTTAGAAATTATTCAACTGGAGAACAAACAGGATTTTTCTGACTTTGGATCCTCAGACTAAAGAGACCCTCATCTGTTCTCCTAGTTTCAGTAGGAAGTTCATCAATGACTGAGGAGGCAGTTAAAAAAAAACGTTAGTCCGATAGCACAACATGAGAGCTGCTATCATAGAATCCCCACAGTGTGGAAGCAGACCATTCGGTCCATCAAGTCCACACTGACCCTCTGAAGTGCAGCCACCCATCCTCCCTCCCCCATAACCCTGAAGAATCCAGACCCTGTATTCATCTGAGATTTAATGACAGTATAAATGGCTAGTGTTGTTAATAAGCTTCAAGATACCTGTCTCAACAAAACCCAGTCTTTATGATGTATGTTATATGAGCTAGCATATAGGGGCGCACAGGCCTTATCAGATAGCCAGCAATGTTTATTGTTTAACCCAACAAACCCTGTCAATACAAACACTGCCACTGTGCATCAGTAGGATGCAGTGAATATTTAAGAACGATGGCGTGCCAATCACGTAGGCTATCTTGTCCTTGATTACCTGAAACTTCTTCAGTGTTGTTGGAACCACACTCACGCAGGGCAATGGGGATATTCCATCACACTCCTGACTTGTGTCTTGTAGATGATGAGTTACTCGCTGCAGCATTCCCAGCCTCTGACCTGCTCTTGGAGCCACAGTATTTAATTAGTGCAGATTAAGGTGCACGAGTTTAACAGGGAAGAATTGTGATGTGAAGCGGATTGACTTCAAAACATTTTCGCTCGAAGCATCACAACCAGTAACTGTGTTTAACACAGAGAGCAAGCCTACCTACTGTTAATTGTAGCAGCCTGGACTCTGAGTCAGACGTTGGTGGGTTTGGGGACCACTTTGGGACAGAACAAGGTTGGCAATCCCAGTGCAGTGCTGAGGGAGTGCTGCATGGTTGGAGATGTTTCTTTTCAGATTAAACATTAGACAGAGGCCCTCCCAACGCTGTCAGAAGGATGAAGAGATCCAAGGGACAGCTGCTGACAAAAACAGGACAGTTCTCCCTGATGCCCAGGTCAATATTTATCCCTTAACCAATGTCGCCCAAAGATGATATCTAGTCATGATCACTTTGTGGTAGCTTACCATGCTTGGTCGCCTATGATCCAGCTTCACACACGGGAGGGAGAGGTTGGGATATTTTCCTAATCAACCTGTTGAGGAATGTTATGACACACCTCTGGAGATGGTAGGATTTGAATACAGGCCTCCTGGCTCAGAGGTACAGACATTACCAATATGCCACAGAGCCTTTGAGTAAGAGTTGAACGTGCTTCTGCACACCTGAGCACAGGTACGTGAGACAATGGATAGCAATTAGGAGTAGGGACCTTAGCTAATACATCCCAGGGCTGTTGACTTTGACCCTAGGAGTCCCAATTCTACCTTAGCTAGGGTTAGCTGTCCAGGACAGACTGTGAATAAAGCCTCGAACCTTTGTGATATGATGGTTGAGTTCTGAATGAAAGAGTGTCCTTGATTAACCCCGCACGTCGCTGTGTGATTCTGTTTCAGGGTAATCCAAATGATCGACGAAAATAAGGAACAGCTTAGAAATCTCTTCCGGAATTACAACATTCTCGATGTCCAGCCGGCTGTTACTGTTAGGGCAGCTAATGATATGACGTCTTTACAGGTAACATTAAATACTGGAGCTCTCCGTCCACACGAGCCACTGGTTTTCTGTCATTCAAGTGTAGACAGGAGCCTAGGCTTCCACCAGAAACAGTTTCTCTCTTTGCGCAACCATAGGCCACCCACATGTAGGCAGCATTGCAAACATCATCACTGTCTGAGGAAAAAGTGTTTGTAAGTGAGCAATTTTGACCTTCTAAGGAGAACTGGATGATTCATCTGAAGAGAAAACATTTTTCAGGGCCCATGGGGAGTGGGACTAGTTCAGTGGCTCTTACTGGGAGAGCGAGAACAGGCACAACAGGCTGAGTGGCTTCCATCTGTTCAATTCCAGCTGTAATGCACCCTCCAGTCTAGCAACTGTCCTCCAGTGAGCCTCCCATACAGTGGGCAAGAAACGCACTTAACAAGACACAAGTCCAGTGCCACATCAGTGAATGGCATGAAAGTCTGTGTCTAGTGACTATGTCCCACACTGCTCTCAATCCCTGTAATCTTTCCCCACCTCCACCCCCAGCTCTGCAGTTACCGGAGGGAATCAGCTCTTCACTGGATGTGTCAATCCTTACACTATGTCTGTGTGTTGAGTTCTCAAGGCTCAGTAGTGGGTGCACGTCATCATGTCCTAAGCAATAGACCCTGTGAGGCACCGAAACAAGATCACTCAAATTTCCAAACCACCGTTTAACCAAAGCCATGTGCACCTTAAACACAAGCCAATACAAAAAAATTGTTCTTTTTGGCATCATGCTGTGCTTTATGCGTTTTTCTCATTTTGTTTTTGCTTTCCTTATCAAGTAGATCCTCATGGCTTCTAAACCCTCTGTAGGAGATGGGAACCCAGACCCTAGTGACTGCACTGTAGTTGTTTTTATTGTGATAACCAATCCTCCTCCTTTATTGATACCATCATCTCCTGATAACAGCAAACACCGCTGTCAGTAAAGGTACCAACATAAGCCACATTTAAGATGCTGAAAAGGGTTCGACAGGGTAGACAGAGAGAAACTGTGTCCACAGGTGGAGGAAGTCCACAATGGGAGAGGATGAAGGGAGGGGTGGTGATGGTTGAGGGGGTGAAGTGTGGATGCTGCTGCAAAACCTTAAAATTCAAGCTGGGCTGCTGACTGGTGATTTCAGGAAGCACTTCTCCAGCCTGAGGGTAGCAGAAAAAAACTGGAACTCTCTTCCTGACGATGACTGAAGCTAAAGGTCAGTTGAATTTTCTGAACTGAGGTTGAAAGATCTTGGTAGGCAAGGGTTAGTACAGATATGTAACCAACATAGGCACGTCTAGTATAAACGCAGGCACAGGCAAGTTGTAGAGCTGGAGGAACACGGCAGGCCAGGCAGCATCAGAAGAGCAGGAAAGTTGATGTTTCAGGTTGGGACCCTTCTTCTGATTTCTGAATCATCGATTTCTGAAGAAGGGTCCTGACCCAAAACGTCAACTTTCCTGCTCCTCTGATGCTGCCTGGTCTGCTGTGTTCCTCCAGCTCCACACTGTGTTATCTCAGACTCCAGCATCTGCAGTCTCCCAGACAAGTTGTATTTGTGGCCAGTTTACATTTTAACATTTATGAGCAGAAGTAGGCACTTCAGCCCTTCAGGCTTGCTGCGTCATCCAGTAAGATGATGGCTGATCTATTTGTGTCCCAAATTCCCATCTGTCCCTGATAACCTTTGATCCCCGTACATTTTACACTCTATTATGTGATTATGATTACTTTGTTTAAAAATCTACCCCTTTGACCAAGTTACGTGGCTCAACACCATATCTTGTTTTAAAATACTTGTCATCAGGTTTAAAGGTGCTATATAAACATGTGTTAATGCAGAGTGCAATCCAAACACAGGGTTGACTCCTTGTTGCAGTTTACTGGATCTGGTGGGGGCAGGTGGGTTTGTTGGGATGATTGAAAAGATGCCATGAATATTGCTGGTGACCCAGGCCCCCTAAATCTTTGATCCAGCCCTGAAAGCTGGAACGGTTTGGCAAATTAGCATTAGGTCTCTCGACACAAAGTGTACGTGCTCTTTTCTGTAAATCTTACTCGGTGAAGTGTTAAATAAGTTTGCCAGTTTCTGTCCTGGCGAGACATGATGCAATGGTAATGGAATTAGTAGTCGATACAAGCAAGCAGTTGGTCAACCTATAAACATTTACAATAGTTATCCACTGCACTAACATGCAGTTTCTTTACAGCATTGCAAACTGATTACATTTCAGGAAAGAATGTTATTGTCAGTGACATTTGAGATGTTTTGAGCTGATGAAAGATGCTGTATCAATCCCAAAGTCAGTCTTTCTTCTCTTTTTATAGATGGCGATAATTATTCTGGCAGTTTTGCTGTTTCTGGCTACCATGCTGTTCATCTTTATGAACTGGTATTACAGGACAGTGTAAGTGCCTTGATTCACCTGTACATTGCACAACATTTAACTCACAATGAAATTAACCTCTGGGTACTTTTGTGTGTGTAGGTCAGGGGTTATCCTCTGAGTTGTTAACAAACAAAAACAGAAAGTGCTCGAGAAACTCAGCAGGTCTGACGTCAGTGAAAAGAAACAGAGTCAATGTTTTGAGTCCAGTGACTTTTCTTCATTAAAAAAAACCGCGGGTACTGTAAAGCAGAAATAAAAACAGAAATTTCTGGAAAAGCTCAGCAGATCTGACAGTATCTGTGGAGAGAAATCAGTGTTAATGTTTCGGGTCCAGTTCCGAGGAAGGGTCACTGGACCCGAAACATTAACACTGATTTGTCTCCACAGATACTGCCAGACCTGCTGAGCTTTTCCAGCAATTTCTGTTTTCGTGACCTTTCTTCAGAACTGCACTAGAAACATTAACACTCTTTCGGGTGCGGCCAGACCTGCTGAGTTTCTCCAGAAATTTATGTTTGTATTTATTTCAGATCCCCACATTCGCAGTTCTTTCATTGTTTGAATACATCATTGTTTATTGAGCTGTTCCTGATTGTCCAGGATGACCCTGTGCCTTTCCAGCAGGTTAGAGAGTTAAAACCAGAGCAGACGTGTTTGCTGGATGGCTGGTTTGCATTACAAAGTAACACCAACAAAGCAGGTTCGATTCCAACACTGGCTGAGGTTACCATGATGATCCTACCTTCTCACCCTCGCCTGAGGTGTAGCGACCCTCCAGTTGAATCGCTACCAGTTATGTCTCTCTAATGAGAGCAGCCTGATGTGACTTTGGTGACTTCATTCATTGCATGGAAAATGCTGTTGAAAACACTGTGCTGCAACACACCCAGATTGTGCTGAGCAGTTCTATGTTATATATATGATGAATCTTCCTTCCTTCACTCAGAGTTAACACCCATTGCTACAGAAGCAGGCTGGATTCAGGGCATGAGGAGATTGAAAATCACCAGCAGAAACCTGAGCTGGCAGTGGAGGGGCAATATCAGAGTCACCGTTTAAATATCCCACAGCTCGAGGAGTTCCACCTGAGCAGAGCAGTCTGGTAGATAAGAGAAAGCGTATGCATGTATGAGAGAGGGAGAGAACCAGCCAGACAGACAGACAGTGTGCGAATTGGGCAGGGATGTGATGTTATTAGTGAATAGTCTTCTATACTTTGAGGCAGAATTTAGGGGGCCAGCAGAAATTTCAACTGGAGTGACGGTATAAATGTGTGGTAGCAGATTGGCCCCACCCTGTTTTACTTTTATAATGGGCAGGTAAATTCCTGAGTGAATGATCTGTTCCCATGCCAAAATAATTGAAAGTACTGCCTGGGACTTCTCTTTTTTGGGTCACACGTACATGGGTGTATACGGCCTGTGCAGAGATGGACTGAGGTTCTGCCTCTGCCATGTGACTAGACCCAGTTCCTTCCAACAGGATCAGCATCACTGATATAATCACACACAACATTTTTCAGTCGAGCTCATGCAGATGAAGGTTAAACAGTTTTATCCACATCACTTAAACTATGTCCTCAGGTCACGGCCGAATAAGGCAATGTTTCATTTTAAAGCACACACCATCCCACATAACCAGAGATAGCAAGAACTGCAGATGCTGGAGTCAGAGACAACATAGTGTGGAGCTGGAGGCACACAGCAGGCCAGGAATTTCTGAGGAAGGGTCCTGACCCGAAACGTCAACTTTCCTGCTCCTCTGATGCTGCCTGGTCTGCTGTGTTCCTCCAGCTCCACACTGTGTTGTGTCCCACATTACCTGCAGCTTGGCTGATCTTTGGGTCATGCTTCCTATAAGGTTTCTAAGATTGATGTTCCAGAGGAGCCCCTTACCCAAACTGCCCTGTTTCATCAGCGGCCATCACTTTGGGTTGACGACTGCTGATACACCAGTCTCACAGAAGCAAAGTCAACCTGTCATATTCACCAGGTCCTCTGAGCAGAACTGGTCCAAGGACAGCGGGCAGTCTCTGCAGGTCTGACAAGTTAACAGCTGACTGGTCTGTTGAAAGTATTAAACGGCATCAAGCATCAGTAACTGCACCCTGTAGGGTGATGAGCTTCATTTGGGACATAACGCTGTTCAGCATCTGGCTCATTATTTCTGTACTAGCTTTCTGTACCTTCACCATAACTGCTGCAATAGAGAAGGATTTACTTTCTGTTGGAGTCCTGCATGAAATTGCTGAACTCTAGTCATGTGGCAGAGGCTGAATCTCAGCCCATTTCTGCATGCGCCAAATACACTCACGTATGTGTGACCCAAATATAAGAAGTTGCAGGCAGTACTTTGTTTTGGGCATGGGGAAGCGATCAGACAATCATTTGCCCATTATAATCCTTCCCACAAACTTCGAAGGCAAGTAATACAGACTGTCATCTCTCATTTTATAGCCTCACTTCAGTTGAAATTTCTGCTGTTCCCCAAAGTATTGAAGGCTCTTCGACAATGAGCTTAAACATCACTAACCCACCTATTCTCACACTGGAATTCTCCCACACCAAGACATTTTCTCTGTTCTCTCTCAGTTCTATCAGACTATTCCTATTAAGTACAACTCTCTGAGACATGAAATATTTAGAGTGACTCTGATACTGTCCACCATCTGACCTCAAATCTTCCAATACTCCCTCGAGCAGTGCATTCTAGATCCTAACCACTCACTGTGTTAGTCACACGTTGTCACTGCTCCTTTTGCTGATCAGCTAAAAGCAGTATTGTCTGGATCTCAGCCCTTCCACCGCTGTACCCAGTGTAAAACCCTTGTGATTTTAAATCTTCTCTCTACCTTCTCTTCTCCAGCCTCAGTCTGAACTTTTCCAACCCTACCATTTCACTGATGGGGGGAGGGAAGCTACTGAAAATGTGTTTCAAAATGTTCGTACAACCATGACCACTGTACGTTCGCACTAAACAACTGCACCTCCCAGTCACAAACCATTTCAACTACCCCTCCCATTCCTCAGACGACATGTCCATCCTGGGCCTCCTGCAATGCCACAACGATGCCACCCGAAGGTTGCAGAACAGCACCTCATTATTTCACTTGGGAACCCTGCAGCCCAATGGTATCAATGTGGACTTCACAAGCTTCAAAATCTCCCCTCCCCCAACCGCATCCCAAAACCAGCCCAGCTTGTCCCCACCTCCCTAACCTGTCCTTCCTCCCACCTAAAGCCCCATCCCCATCTCCTACCTACCAGCCTCATCCCGCCCCCTTGACCTGTCCGTCCTCCCTGGACTGACCTATCCCCTCCCTAACTCCCTACCTACACTCACCTTTACTGGCTCCATCCCGACCTCTTTGACCTGTCTGTCTCCTCTCCACCTATCTTCTCCACTATCCATCTTCCATTCGCCTCCCCCATCTCCCTATTTATTTCAGAACCCCCTTCCCCTCCCCCATTTCTGAAGAAGGGTCTAGGCCCAAAACGTCAGCCTTCCTGCTCCTCTGATGCTGCTTGGCCTGCTGTGTTCATCCAGCTCTACACCTTGTTACCACTCTACAGGACTCTCTTTGCCACAAAATTTGATTTAAAAAAAGGCTTCTTCATACTTCTCAGTACTTGCATTGTCCATCATTGCCAATGTGATGCCACTGCTTAAAAAAGGAAGTAGACAAAAAGCAGGTAACTATAGGCCAGTTAGCTTAACTTCGGTAGTGGGGAAAATGCTTGAATCTATCATTAAGGAAGAAATAGCAAGACATCTGGATATAAATTGTCCCATTGGGAACACCCAGCATGGGTTCATGAAGGGTAGGTCATGTTTAACTAATTTGGTGGAATTCTTTGAGGACATTACTTGCATAGTGGACAATGGGGAACCTGTGGATGTGGTGTATCTGGATTTCCAGAAGGCATTTGACAAGGTGCCACACCAAAGGCTGCTACATAAGAAAAAGTTGCATGGTATTACAGGTAATGTATTGGCGTGGATAGAGGATTGGTTGACCAGTAGAAAGCCAAGAGGAGGGGTAAATGGGTGCTTTTCTGGTTGACGGTCAGTGGCTAGTGGTGTGCCTCAGGGATCAGTGTTGGGACCTCAATTGTTTACAATTTACATAGATGATTTGGAGTTGGGGACTAAGTGTGGTGTGTCAAAATTTGCAGATGACACTAAGGTGAGTGGTAGAGCAAAGTGTGCAGAAGACACTGAAAGTCTGCAGAGGGTTATAGATAGTCTAAGTGAGTGGGCAAATGGAGTACAATGTTGATAAGTGTGAGGTCATCCATTTTGGTAGGAATAACAGCAAAATGGACTATGTTTTAAATGGTAAAAAATTGCAGCACGCTGCTGTGCAGAGGGACTTGGGTGTCCTTGTGCACAAATTGCTGAAGGTGGGATTGCAGGTGCAGCAGGTGATTAAAAAGGCAAATGGAATTTTGTCTGCCATTGCTAGAGGGATGGAGTTTAAAAACATGGAGGCTATGCTGCAGCTGTATAGGGTCCTGGTGAGGCCACACCTGAAGTACTGTGTGCAGTTTTGGTCTCCTTACTTGAGAAGAGATATACTAGCACTGGAGGGGGTGCAGAGGAGATTCACTCGGTTGATTCCAGAGTTGAGAGGGTTAGATTATGAGGAGAGACTGAGTAGACTGGGCTTATACTCATTGGAATTCAGAAGAATGAGGGGAGATCTTATAGAAACGTATAAGATTATGAAGGGAATAGATAAAGTGGAGGCAGGGAGGTTGTTTCCGCTAGCAGGTGAAACTAGGACTAGAGGGCATCACCTCAAAATAAAGGGAAGCAGATGTAGGACTGAGGTCAGGAGGAACTTCTTCACCCAAAGGGTTGTGAATCTGTGGAATTCTCTGTCCAGTGAAGCGGTTGAAGCTACCTCGCTGAATGTTTTTAAGGCAAGGCTAGATAAATTTTTGAACAGTAAAGGAATTAAGGGTTATGGTGAGTGGGCGGGTAAGTGGAGCTGAGTCTCAAAAAGATCAGCCATGATCTTATTAAATGGCAGGGCAGGCTTGAGGGGCCAGATGGCCTACTCCTGCTCCTAGTTCTTATGTTCTTATCATTTGATCCCCTCTGAGGCTGCAATACCTATCACCCAAAAGTCACTTTCTGCTTTACACATAGGCACACTATACTTGTTGGTCATAGCTACAGCAATTTCAGGCCATAGATAACTACCTCCTGAAGCATGAAGACCAGAACCTCCTTCGCCTGTTCTAAATGTTGAAACTCTCTTTGTTTATTGCCAACAGGCACAAAAGAAAGTTGAAGGCTATTGTAGCAGGCTCCACTGGTAAGAAGTACATTCAGACGCAGCAATATTTTCAATAAGAAAAAATGTTATATGTAAATATTTTCATAGAATCCCTACAGTGTGGAAACAGGCCCTTTGGCCCAACAAGTCCACACCAACCCTTGGAGCATCCCACCCAGACCCATCCCCCTGTAACCCACTTAATCTACACATCCCTCAACACTACGGGCAATTTAGCATGGCCAATCCACCTAGCCTGCACAGCTTTGGACTGTGGGAGGAAACCGGAGCACCCGGAGGAAAACCACGCAGACACAGGGAGAACGTGCAAAATCCACCCAGGCAGTTGCCCGAGGATGGAATCAAACCCGTGTCCGTGGTGCTGTGAGGCAGCAGTGCTAACCACTGAGCCACTGTGCCTGTGAATTTTGGATCAATACACTCCAATGTTTGAGGTCAAGGGCTAACAACCCAGCAGATATTTTCAAATCACCCTGTTCAGAGATACTGTCATACACCTCTGGAGCAGGTGAGACTTAAACCTAAGTCTCCTGGCGAGAGATAGGGACACTATCACTGTGCCCCTGAGCTCTCTGAAGACACCTGCAAAGCATCCACAATAATTGCGGTAGTGGCCTAAATCCAGCTGAATGATTTAGATTAGTTCTTATCCTGTGTTTATGTAGCAACATTTAGACTTTGAGGCCCTATAGAGACATTACCTGATCTGAGCAGCAAACTCATGGTGTGTTTCATGGTTGGCAAATTATTCTTTATTAAACAGTGAATTCTTTAGATCTTTGTGAGCAGGACCATGGGAAGATTCACTGTTTCTGGGCCTAGGGTTATGGACCTGGTTAGTGTAATAATCATTGGAGTTAACGGGGGTGGTGATAGCCTAGTGGTATTCTCACTAGATCCAGGTAATGTTCTCACAGATCTGGTTCAAATCCCACCAAGACAGACAATGGAATCTGGATTTACTGAAAATCTGGCATTAACATAATAATGTTGCCAATTGTTTGGAGAAGAACCCATCTGGTTCACTAATGTCCTTTAGGGAAGGAAACTGCCATCCTTACCTGGTCTGGCCTACATGTGACTCCAGACCCACAGCAAAGTGGTTGACTCTTAACTGCCCTCTGGGCAATTAGGGATGCTGCCTAGCCAGTGATGCCCTTATCCCAGAAACAAAATGCAAAATTGTCAAATTGCCAAAAGCACCTTGCGATCAGTTTTGTTTTTTCAAAAATCCCTTGCCCTTATCTAGCAAACCTAATCGTAGTCACACTATTTTCCCCTTCTTTGTATTGATACATGTGCCAGTCTGCTCATTTTTGTGCTCAGTAACCTGAGAAGGTGTAGGAATAGAGTGCGCCACAACCCGATAACCTCGAGAGCATGTGAATGCTCATAAACAGAGCAGGTACTGAAGATCTATGTCCTCCTGTTTAGGTAACCAAGGGTTTATGGACATCCTGGACATGCCAAACACAAACAAGTATTCGTTTGAAGGGTAAGTGACGTGAAGCTTTGGCTGAGATTGATTTAACCCATTTCCATATCCTACTTCACTGCTGTAGAGGCAATTACTGACAAGAGGCAGACATTATTAAAGGGTAGGTGGGAGGTTCCAATCTCTAGAGCTTGCACTCTCAATCTGCTAATTAGCAACAGGCTTTACAGTGCCATTGCAATCGGAATATTCCACTTCTCAGTCAATATTGATCCAATATTTCACAGCTCCAATAAGGTCACATGGCCTAGGGAATGTGGTAATCATAATACATTGGCATCAGAATGCCACAAGAAAAGTGAGACAGACAATTGTCAGACAAAAAGATTATTTGGCTGATGTCATCATCCTCCTCCTCCTCCTCCTCGAAACTCATTCAGAGTTGGTTATGTCTCGCACCAAAGTGAAGCTTGTGTCATCAGCAAGTTAACCCTCCCATTAATGTTGGCAACTTGTTACAGACATTCAATTTACAAACTTGGATATAAGCTGGATTGTGTCACAAAACACAACTTTGATTTATACAGTGCCTATAACATTGTAAAATAGCACTGTACACTTCATATGAGTGTGATTAAAACATGCGATTTCTGGACAATTATCCAGAAATACAATCAATTACTCAAATTGAGAAGTGTGCAGACTCCATATATTGTCTGAAGGAGTGTTCCCTTCATGGTGCCAATGTCTTGTTTCAGGGCAAATCCAGTCTGGCTTGATCCCTTCTGCAGAAACTTGGAACTTGCTGCTCAGGCTGAACATGAAGATGATCTGCCAGAGAATCTCAGCGACATCACTGACCTCTGGAATAGTCCAGCCAGGACCCATGTAAGTTTATCTGCCATTGTTTGTAGTCCCTTGGTGCTGACTGCCAAGGAGAGCAAATAAATTGATTTTACATCAACACTGTTGAAAATGTACTTCCTTAATAAGAATTTTTGACAAAATAAGCATTGTCAGCTATTACATTCCAGCTGGTTGCTCATATTCTAAGATCCTGATATAGTTTGGATTAGGGAATGGAGTTGAAGTTTAACGTCAGCATCATTGCCTCATGCCCAGGGAGCCACTATTCTAACTTTTAGCATTTCCTCAGTCATACTAACAACCCCAAGGTAGATGCTATTGTGAAGTTTCAGATTGCAATGAACAGTGAAAGCATGCTGTAGATCTGTGTTAATTAGGGGAATCTCATGAACCAACAATGACCATCTTTGGAGAAGTTAACAGCAGAAGGTGCTACATGTCCTGTCACCCCAAGTCAATGTAGAGTTTATAACAAGAGTAACAACAAACACCTCTTCAGATTGGTGTGATGGCTGTAATACTGGCCTACCAGATCCCAGGACAAAACCCTGCTTGATAAGATTTTTTTTTTATCATTTAGATAATTAACTTGGTGGTCACAGAGACAGATGCGGATGAGGCTGCATATTTTTCTTTTGCGTAATAAACTTCTCTTCCATTGTTGAAAAATATGAATGCCTTTGAAATATAAGCTGTCAAAATATTATTTCAAAAGTTAGTAAAATCAAAAATACAACAAAAATAGTTTCAATACTATCCATTAATCAGACTCAACATCCTATATTGCCATTTCTTCAGTAGTGCTAGGTCAATATTCCACAATTCCTTGTACCCATTGCACCTACATCACATGGACTCTCATGGTTCAAGAAGACAGCTTATCACCACCTTAAGGGACAAGAGGGCTGGGTAATAAATACTGACCCAGGTAATAAGGCCCACATCCCAACAATTAATTTTAATAAAGACCCAAGTTCAGAGAAGTGATAACCCTAGCTCAGTGCTTTAGGATTCTACTTAACAGGGAGGTGACGGCCTACTCATATTATCACCAGACTGTTAATCCAGAGATCCAGGTAATGTTCTGGGGATCTGGGTTTGAATGTTGCCATGACAGATGGTAGAATTTGATTTCAATAAAAATCTAGAATTAAGAGTCTGATGATGACCATGAATCCATTATCGATTGTTGGAAAACACATCCGGTTCACTAATGCCCTTTAGGAAAGGAAACTGCCATCCTTACCTGGTCTGGCCTACATGTGACTCCAAACCCACAGCAACGTGGGTGACTCTTAACCGCCCTCTGGGCAATTAGGGATGGACAGTTAAATACTGGCCTAGCCAGTATTGCCCTCACCCATGAATGAATTTTTAAAAAAACTAATTCCTGAGAGTTAGTTACTAACTCCTCAGAGATAGTAAGAACTGCCGATGCTGGAGTCTGAGATAACAGTGTGGAGCTGGAGGAACACAGCAGGCCAGGCAGCATCAGAGGAGCAGGAAAGCTGATGTTTCGGGGCGGGACCCTTCTTCAGAAATGGGGGAGGGGGAAGGGAGCAATCCCCACCATTCCCTACCTGCACTCACCTATCACCATCCCACCTATCTTCCTTCCCCAGCCCCACTCCTCCTCTCGCTATTTATTTCTGAGCTCCCTTTCCCCCTCCCCCATTTCTGAAGAAGGGTCCCAACTCGAAACGTCAGCTTTCCTGCTCCTCTGATGCTGCCTGGCCTGCTGTGTTCATCCAGCTCCACACGGTGTTAACTCCTGACAGTTTACGTGCTGTGGACTGTAGACAGAATTAAGGGAAGCCTTGCCAAATCTACCAAAATGAACTGTTTCACAAATCTGGGAGCCCAAATTCACTCAGTTCTCATAGCCTGCAGATTTCTCAACAAATGCTCCTCGTTGGGAAGTTTCATAAAGTAAACCCTTCTGTTGAAGTGACTGGTCCCTGGACTGCCCTAAACACCTTCTAGGAGAGATGTTTCCAAACTCAACCCTGGTATCTTCTGAACTGAATAAAATTAACAGCCTGAGATAACAAGGTGTAGAACTGGATGAACACAGCAGGCCAAGCAGCATCAGAGGAGCAGGAAGGCTGACGTTTCGGGCCTAGACCCTTCATCAGAAATGGGGGAGGGGAAGGGAGTTCTGAAATAAATAGGGAGAGAGGGGGAGGCAGATAGAAGATGGATAGAGGAGAAGATAGGTGGAGAGGAAACAGACAGGTCAAAGAGGCGGGGATGGAGCCAGTAAAGGTGAGTGTAGGTGGGGAGTTAGGGAGGAGATAGGTCAGTCCAGGGAGGACGGACAGGTCAAGGGGGTGGGATGAGGTTAGTAGGTGGGAGATGGGGGTGGGGCTTGAGGTGGGAGGAGGGGATAGGTGGGAGGAAGGGACGAACTGGGCTGGTTTTGGGATGCGGTAGGGGCAGGGGAGATTTTGAAGCTTGTGAAGTCCACATTGATACCATTGGGCTGCAGGGTTCCCAAGCGGAACATGAGTTGCTGTTCCTGCAACCTTTGGGTAGCGTCGTTGTGGCACTGCAGGAGGCCCAGGTTGGACATGTCGTCTGAGGAATGCACGCAAACCATTTCAACTCCCCTTCCCATTCCTCAGACAACATGTCCATCCTGGGCCTCCTGCAGTGCCACGACGACTCTACCCGAAGGTTGCAGGAACAGCAACTCATATTCCGCTTGGGAACCCTGCAGCCCAATGGTATCAATGTGGACTTCACAAGCTTCAAAATCTCCCGTCCCCCTACCGCATCCCAAAACCAGCCCAGCTCGTCCCCGCCTCCCTAACTTGTCCTTCCTCACACCTATCCCCTCCTCCCACCTCAAGCCCCACCCCCACCTCCCACCTACTAACCTCATCCCGCCCCCTTGACCTGTCCGTCCTCCCTACCTCCCCACCTACACTCACCTTTACTGGCTCCATCCCCGCCTCTTCAACCTGTTTGTTTCCTCTCCACCTATCCTCTCCTCTATCCATCTCCTATCCACCTCCCCCTCTCTCCCTATTTAGTTCAGAACCCCCTTCCCCTCCCCCATTTCTGAAGAAGGGTCTAGGCCCGAAACGTCAGCCTTCCGGCTCCTCTGATGCTGTTTGGCCTGCTGCGTTCATCCAGCTCTGCACCTTGTCATCTCAGATTCTCCAGCATCTGCAGTTCCTACTATCCCTGAAACAAAATTAACAGCCTGTTCTGAGGAAGGGTCACCGGGACCAGAAACTGATTTTTTTCTTCACAGATGCTGCCAGACCTGCTGAGCTTTCCCAGCAATTTCTGTTTTTGTTCCTGATTTACAGCATCCGCAGTTCTTTCGGTTTTTTTGAAAACAGCCTTGCATGTTTACCCTACCTGTCGTAAACATAAGAGTATAAACATTTCCATTAAAACTACAGGGGTGTCTTCTATGAGAAGTATTGGATTTAGTCCTTCTGGAATAGTGACCTTGTATATTGTTTGAAAAGAAAACCTTTCAGAGAAGCTATCAGCGGCTGTCTGCCTCCATTTTTAAATTCAAACTGCAATACATATAAATTATACAACCGACGTAAGACCTCAACAACTATTGCCTTTTCCTTTAAAGGGCACGTTTGGCCGTGCACCACCTTCATCTAAGCTGGAGGATGATCGATATTTACGTGCAGCCATACAGGAGTACGACAGCATCGCAAAACTTGGACAAATCATGCGAGAAGGTCCCATCAAGGTACGTTAGAACAAGATCACCAAGTCTCAAGTACTTGTAAACCATTTTACGATGTCAAGGAGGATAATGCAATTTGATGATGGATCCAACGGGTTGAGGTTCAACAAACAGCCTATTGGCAGGGGGAATTGATACCTTAAAATGTAGTTGGAAAACGTGAGCAATAACTACCTCATAGCTGGGAAGAAACTATTCGCAAATCAGTAACTAATGGTAAATTGAGGAAAATCTAGATGACTTTGTAAGGTGCCATGTGGTGGACTCCAATGCCTGAAAAAGTGATTGAAACAGATTCAATAATAAGTCACAATGAAAGCGGTGAAATCTAATAGGAAAGTAAGACCAAGTGGGACTCATTTGATGGTTAACACAGGCACAAGGGGCCAAATAGTCTCCTCCTGGGCTTTATCGTTGTTGTCGTGGAATCATATGGTACAGCTGAGGCCCCTTGGCCTAGCAAGTCTACACCAACAAAACAACTAATCCCACTTTCCAGCACTTAGCCTTGGATGTTATGACATTTCAAGTGCTCAAACAAACACTTTTAAAAAGTTGAGAGATTTGCCATTTCACTGACCCTCCCTTTTCGACTAATTATCCTGCAAAGACTAGACTTTCAAAGGAACTGCAAACATATGGGTTAGGAGCACGAATAGGTCATTCAGCCCTTCAAGTCCGCTGTGCCACTCAATAAGATCTGTTTGCATTCCAAATGCCACATTCCCATCGCTCCCAGAAAATGCTATTCTGCTGCTGATCGAGAATCTGTCCACCTCTGCCTCAGAAGGCGGTGGAGGTGGGGTCATTGCGTACGCATAAGACAGAGAATTTGCAGTTCAAATGCCCACAGTGCACAAACAGGCCATTCAACCAATTGAGTCTGCACCAACCCTCCAAAGAGCTTCCCCACCCTATCCTTGTAACCCCACATTTACTATGACCAATCCACCTAATCTGCATATCTTTGGACTGTGGGAGGAAACCAGAGAACCTGACAAAAATCCACACACAGTCACCCGAGGCCGGAATCGAACCCGGGTCCCTGGCACTGCGAGGCAACAGTGCTAACCACAATGCCGCCCCAAAGTCTCAACCAAAGAAAAAGAATTGCCTTTGTCTCTGTCTTACGAGTGGCTAGGTCATCCACAAACATGCAACAGTGAGATAGAGAACACATAGCAATGAAAAGTTCAGCTGACGTCCCAAGCAGTCACAAAGAGGTGTGTGTTTTACTTGCTGTGCATTACCTCAAGGGCTCCCTTTTGAAAGTGGTTCTGGATGACTACCTGCGGCTGAAGAAGCTGTTTGCAGCTCGATTGGCTCACAAATCCACTGCCAGTGGGGATCGCTCATCTGTGGTGGAGGTACAGCTGGTGTGAAACTAATCGGTTTGCAGTGTGAAGTGTGGCTTGTCACTTTAAAGAGCTGAGCATGGAAACCGGTCATCAATACCATGCAGTGTGAGGTGCTGTGAGTTTGTGAGGCTAGATGAGTTAACAGGGAGCTGGAAGAAAATGCAAGGCATTATTCTCATTGAAAAGCTCAAAGTTGTGTTTTATATATATTCATGGGATGAGGGCATCGCTGACTGGGCCAGCATTTATTGTCCATCCCTAATTGCCCAGAGCACACTTAAGAGTCAGCCACTCTGCTGTGGGGCTGGAGTCATACGAAGACCAGATCAGGTAAGGATGGCAGTTTCCTTCCCTAAAGGACATTAGTAAACCAGATGGGTTCTTCTCCAACAATTGACAATGGATTCATGGTCATCATTAGACCCTTAATTCCAGATTTTCTTTTATTGAATTCAAATTCCACCATCTGTCGTGGCAGGATTGGAACCCAGGTTCCCCGAACATTATCTGTGTCTCTGGATTAACAGTCCAGCAATACCACCCCTAGGCCATTGCCTCCCTTCAAGCTTGCATTCTCATTTATATCTACCACCACACAGACTCCCAAGCTTAGAATCTGGGTGTGAATCTACTCCCCTGCTCAACATCACATCACTATCTAATAACTCACTGTGACTTTCTGCAGTTTATTCTTGGATTCAGTGCCAAGGGTTATGGAAGGTGCATAGTCAGAGCATCTGTGTTAAAGCAAACCATTGATTTGTTGCATGCTCGAGCTGTGGACTTGGAAAACCATTCAAAGGGAAATGTGAAGTGAAAGGACTATTCCATTTCGAGGCAGTCACAGACCTGTTCAGGCTCCAGGTCGTCAGGACTTCCTGATGTAAAATGAGTCCAATCTGCAACAAGCAGTGAGGATCCCAGTCCAGATTTCAACGCCATCTGCCCATAACACTGAATGTTGGTGCAAGAGACCATCCGAAAGGACTGCTGTCTGAACAACTGGATAATTTAGAGGTTGGATTGAAATTGATCCCTCCTCTGCATTGTGCATCTACATTCGATATTGCACTCTGTAATGAGCAGGCTACCTGAATTTCAATACTTGTAGCTTTCAAAATACTTAGTTTAGTATTTCTAACAATGTCAGCCTGTTTTATTTTTTCATGGGATGCGGGTGCTGTTGGTTAGACCAGAGTCTATCGCCCATTCCTAATTGTCCAAAGGGCAGTTATGAATCAACCACATTGCTTTGTGCCCAGAGTCACTCATAGACCAGGCCACGTAAGGACAATAGGTTTCCTACCCTAAAGGACCAAGCATCAGGGCCCAATAGGTGGAGCCTTGGGCCCAGACTGGGAGCGTCACCAGGACCCGTGATTTCTATCTTGTCCCAGTTGCCACAAGGCTAGCTTTTTATTCCAGATTTTATCGAATTCAAAATTTCATTGTGTAACTGGAATTCCAAATCAGGTCCCAGAACATTAATCTGAAATTCTTGATCACTGGGCAAGTGGCAATTGACTCAGATTGTCAGAAAACAGGCATCCTCTTTACAAGTCACCTTTTGAAGATTGGCTATGCAGGTCTGGCCTTAATTGCTGAATGACCAGACTGATAAATTGTTTTATGGTAAAGTTATTGGAAGAGTAGTTAAATCACTGGGGAGGAGATGGCCAAGTGATAATGTTCTGGGGACCTGGGTTCAGATCCCGCCACAGCAGATGGTAGAATTTGAATTCAATAATAAATATCTAATGATGACCATGAACCATTGGCAACTGTCAGGAAAAGCCCATCTGGCCCTTCAGGGAACAAAGTCTGCCATCCTCACCTGGTCTGGCCTACGCGTGATTCCAGACCTACTGCAGTGTGATTGATTCTAAATTGCCCTCCAAAGTGGTCTAGCAAGCCACTCCGTTTACGGGCAGGCATTAAATGTTGGCCAGCTACAAGTGAACTAAAAAAAAAAAAAAAAAAAAAAAAAAACTTATTAATCCCTTACCACATAGAAATAAAACAAATTGTCACTTCTTGAATGGATGAAGAGGTGAGTTGGGAAGGGAAAGAATTACATTCCATTTATTCAACAGCATTAGAAAACTTCTTAACACTAGAACTAAGTGTGGCCACTATTGTACATAAACATAAATAGGAGCAGAAACAGACGCCACATCCCATAGGTCTCCCCTGTCCAACCTCTCTCAAATTGTAAACCTGTAATGTACAGCTTCAGTCGAACATCTGTATGCTGTGATAATGGTTAAAAGAACAAGTCCCTTGCGAAGGGAAGAGTATGGAACACCATCTGGGCTGACACTCCTACTAAAGGAAAAGTGACCGACATTTCATTTAATTAGTATAAAACCTCCAAATTGCTTTCCAGGCAAAGAAAGTTTTTTTTTAAAAAAGCTGTCATTGCTGTATGAAATAAAAATTAAATATAGCAGATGCTAGAGAATCTGAAATAGAGGAAAATTGCTGGAAAATTTTCAGCAGATCTGGCAGCATCTGTGAAGATAGAGAAAGAGTTAATGTTTCAAGTTTAATATGACTTCTTCAGAACTCAAGTTCTACAGGCTTGATTGTTAGACAGTGGTCACCCAACTCTTCATCAATCCTCAAAATGTGAAGGAGCTTTTGTTCACTAATTCCCTTGGCATTTTTCCTCTAGATGAAAATTTCACTTTAGTTCCATGTAACACATCTGGAATGTGTAATAAACAAGGTGTTTGAGGTTCAAATACCTCTGGTACTGTTCTTGTAACACAACAGAACTGAACAGATGCAATAGGAACAATTACCCACGTCTTTTGAATTCTTTAGGAATTCACCTGGTTTGTTGTTTGCTGCAGCTCTATCTCGTTGGGCTTGTTGCAAACCGAACTGCATGCAGTCTCCCCCTTCTGAATAAAATGCAACATGATTTCTCAGTAATGATGTGTACTGATTGCAGTGTAAGAATATGAAATAGCCTAATGGTCTGGGTTTTGTTTTGTTTTGTTTTGTTTTGTCTTGTCCAACTCTTCCCCATCTTTGGCAAAAGCTGATTCCCAGCGACGTGGAAGATGACGATGAGAAACCCCCCAGTCGTGGAACTCTGAAGTTCAAGCATCGGCACCCTGTGGAGCTGAAAGGTCCTGATGGCATTCATGTGGTTCATGGCAGCACTGGCACCTTGCTGGCCTCTGATCTGAACAGTCTGCCTGAAGATGACCAGAGGGTCTTGGTCAGATCCCTGGAAACGCTGAACACAGAGAGCGGGAGCTATGTGGACAGGAATGCCAGGACGGAGTCTGCAAAGTCCACGCCATTGCACAAGGCGAGGGAACGGGTGATGGAGATTCCACTGGAAATCACGGAGCTTTGACAGTGATATCCAGGAGCCCTGCACAAAAACAGATTGTTGGGGGAGGTAGCTGTGGAAAATAAGCATAAAAGCTGCCTACAGTCACTTTTTTTGGGGAAGAGGGACCACTCTGTCACTTCCACCACCCAACCTCCACACAACTGTTGACCCCACCCCCCCCAACTTCAAGAACCAAGCATCACTGATAACAACAAACCCCTCTGACCTGACCCACGACATCCCAAACTCATTCTGCCCCCACTGTTACCTGAAACTGCTGAACTTTGCAGTGTATGGAGGCAGCCGGGAAAGCAACAATTCAAATCCAGCCACTATCTGATATAGGGTCCTGGCACGCACTGGGTTCCAATCAAGCTAAATTATATTGCAGTATATAATGAATTAAATTCATACTGAAAATACTCAAACCATTAACCACAAAAATCAAGGATTTTTTTCCCTGTTTCTATTTGAATAATATGAAACCAAAGCAGCAAATATCTCAAATTACTAATACTGCTCTGGATATGATAAAGATACCGAACCGAGAGACAGCACCAGTTAGGGAGCAAACTTGCTGCACACATGCTCATATATTTCCTTCACAGACATCCAGTCTTTTCTTAAAAGCTGCAAGGGCAATAAACCAACTGGAAAATGATCTGTCCCTATTACAGGCCAGGCCACCTCTGCAGTGAAAGCAAGCAGGGTCAGCAGTGAACAAGACATTTCAGAAGCTCACTCACTACTGCAGACAATCCACCTTAATTCAGCCCATTTTAAATCTCCCCCATTCAGACAAGCCAGAATGCTCACTCAAGGCATACAAACATTCCCCTACATATATGCGCCCCCAAACCCCACATATTTCCTAATCAAGTCTCCTTTGCCTCTGCGTTGCTTTGAATTGAACATATCAGTTCTTTAAGCTTGCAGTTCTCTCCTCACTGTTCTGAAACTTTCCCCTAGGCCATTCTATCATCTATAACAAACAGGGCAACAGTACAAGGCACAGTGTTCCACTGAAGTAATTAAACCGGCAATCTGTACATGGACACAACCAAATGAAATATATCAGACACCACCCGTCTCTTTACACAAGACAACACACTATTTTGACTACACAAAATTCTAACACCTAGATCGTACAATCTCCAACTCTTTTCTGCATAATTCCCTGCAAATAATCAATGCAGTCCTTGATGGCCCTACGTACATGCTTCCTAATTTTTGGCCCATTCCTTGGCACCTCAAGATCTTTGAGGATCTCTGCTCTCAAGACACCAGTGTTAATATTGACACATTTACTGACCTTTGCCCTGCACCGCTATCTAGATTCAAGGTGTTTACCCTGTCAACAGCAACCGTTGACATGTCTAGTATAAATTGCTGGGGTCACCACTGGCAGCTTGCCTCTTGGCTTATCCAGAGCCACCCACTTTAGCTCTCAGTAGGACTGGAGCTAGTTCCTAACCCCACTTGCTTAACTATGGCCAACTCAAAAACCTACTCCAGTAAATAAAGGGCAAGATCCTTTAATCAACAGCTTTTCAGAGATCCAGGTACAAGTCAACAGGACTCCCCCTGTCCTGATCACTTCGTCAAACTACTTACATCTCCATGGTACTGCCTCTGTCACCAAAGTTGTGTTGAGTATCATACTGCTGTGTAAATGGCAGCGTTACAAAATTGTAATAACTTACAATCTGCTGTGGTCCTGACCATTGGAAGGCAGAGTGGTTTAAACACCACAAAGAACAACGCACCAATATTGACACTAAACCAAAGGAGGATACATCAGGGCAGATCACTAAAAGCTTAGAGGTAGGATTCAAGTAGCATCATGAGTGTTTTTTTTCGGGGAGGCAACTCCAACACTTTACACTTAAGAAACCAAGTCAAATTTTACAGCATTTAGGCTTCACAAGTGGCCTGAAGCTATTACATGCTACCAGTCTCCATTGCTAAAAAAGAAAACAACTTTATGCCAACATTATTTAAAACTGTTAGTGGTGGAAATTCCTCTTAATACAGAAGCAGTGAACGTTAATTCCCCACACAAATTCAAGGCTATGGTTGGGTATCTAATTACTGTGTTTTTTAAATAAATGTGTAAATTTTTACAGACGTGTAAATATATTTGCTATTAACTGTTCATGTGCATCATACGGTTAGGTGCTGAGCTGAGAGATTAATTGGAACCTTAAATGTTAATTTTGTTTTTTGTTTGTCTGACTACAAAAATACTGGTTTGAATTGTGCCTTGTGATTCGGATTAATTTTATCTCAGTCTCTCCTTCCATAACCGTTCCTTACCACAGGCTGGGTGACAGAGAATGTGGGAGATGAAATCAGGTCAAGTGTCCAGCATGTGTTTCCTTTGAAGCTGCTATACCACAGGAGATTGATGACCTGGAAATGAGATGATATACACCACTGATGTCTATCTGCTTTCAGAGCCCATACCAACTCTCACAGTTCAAGTGGAAACTAAATTCACATAGCAGTTTGCATGGAGTGGGACAGTTGGTCCCAAGCAGCTTTTGGGTATCAGTCAACACGACCAAACCCACCACTCATTGCAGTTATAAATGACTGCTGCATCTGTCTACCCAAGTCACTGCACTGCAGCAAGTGAATCATTGCATGAGGCGCTGCGTGAAGATCAGAAATATCAAAGAACAATCTAAATTACGATCGCAGCGTTGCGATTTTAAAAAAAATTGGGTGAGAAACTTTGCATTTAAAACCACAACCTTCACAATTCCTCAAAAAGACAAATTAGGTATACAGCTGACAGGATCCAGCAAACCCCTTCTGTCCAACGTCCTGAATGGTCATGGCTGGAGTTGATTCCCTTGGGGCAACTTCTGATAGCTCTTTAGTTCTTTACAACTAACACAAACACGTGGACCAAATGATCAGCTTAAGTGGTATAAACTTCTGCGTCCCCCTTTGTCCAAAGTCTCCTTTTCAAACTGTAATGGAGGTGGCAGATGTACAGGATTAGGTTGTAATGCAGTCTAGTTCGACCTGATGTGATAGCTATTTGGGGCAGCACAGTGGCTCAGTGGTTAGCACTGCTGCCTCACAGCACCAGCAACCTGGGTTTGATTCCAGCCTAAAGCAACTGTCTGTATGGAGTTTGCATGTTCTCCCCGTATCTGCGTGGGTTTCCTCCAGATGCTCCAGTTTCTTCCTACATCACAAAGATGTGCAGTTTAGGGTGGAATGGCCATGCTAAATTGCCCATAGTGTCCAGGGATGTGCAGGCTAGGTGGGTTAGCCATGGGAAATGCAGGGTTACAGAAATAGGGTGGGGGTTGGGTCTGGGTGAGATGTTCTTTGGAGAGTCAGTGGATTTGATGGGTCGAATGGCCTGCTTCTGCTCAGTAGGGATTCTGTGGGGAAGGATAGAATCAGTGGTAAATATCAGAGTTTGCAGCAGGAACTAAAGATGATGTTCAGCGGGAGGCAACTACAGCTACTCTCAGGGTGGAGGTCAGACATGCAGTCAGAAAACAGCATGGCAGCAAGGACAGACCCTGAGTGAACTCCAGGGCTAACTATGTGTGAGCAACAGGTGCCACGCTACAATCACACACTAAGCAAGCTTAAGTTCTGTTGATATGGAATGTTTTCTTGAATTGTTGCACTAGGTACACCCATAATGCCATTAGCGAGGTATTTCCAGGATTTTGACCCAGTGACGCTGAAGGAACAGCGATATATTTCCAAGTCAGAATGGTGACTGGTTTGGAGGAGAGCTTGCTGACAGATACTGGATGTCCCACATATCTGCTGCCCTTACCCATACCCTTCTAGTTGGAAGTGGTTGTGGGTTTGGAAAATGCTGTCAGAGGAACCTTGGTGAATTGCTGCACTGCATCTTGTAGATAATACACTATTGCTGCTGCGCAGCCAATTCAGTGAAGGGTACCAAACACTCTAAGCATTATGGCATATTATAAAAGTTTATGCATGATTTCTCAGTATGACAAGGCCTATTTGAGTTGCAGTAAACAAAAAGCTGCTAACCGCTGTCCAGTCCTTACATAAATAGAAATGAGAGCCTTTTAATTTCACTTCTTCTCAGGAAGAGTTTGTAACCTCTCTGCCCACCACATTAGTCTGTTCTTGCTGATTCAGAAGTAAATCAAGGTCACTTCCTACATCCTGCATCAAAATAATACAAGACTCATACTCATCGCTGCTTCAAAAGAGTTCTTCCATAAACGATACTTGTAAATGGCAAAAAAAAAAATCAGACCAGTGCAGGAGTCTTGGATTTCATTACCTGAGTATTTCTGAAAAGAGAACTGATCAAAGAAGTTACAGATACCAACTTGAATTTATGCAGCACCATTGCTTTTGTAATTTTCTAATACAAACCACAAATAAGAGCAACAAAAACAAAACATTGAGCAGCTGAGATACTGGACCTGTTGGTCAGAGATTTCAAGAAACTTCTTAGAAAGAAGAGAGGCAGTTCCAGTGCCTTGACAGCTGAAAGCAGAGTCACCCATGGCAGAGTTTATCATTTACAGACAACCAAGACACCAGATTCGAAGCCAGAGAATTGGAAAGCAAGACGATGTAAAGGAACAACCGGTGCTTCTACTATACCTGCAACCATCTCTGCAGCGTTGGACCTTCCCTCCAGAATGATGGATTAAGCACACCAGTGCCCAGTTATAAAACACAGATTCCTTTGTAAATAATCTGCAATTTGAACAGCAAAAAAAAGTTTATTAAAAATAATTAAAAATAAATAAAGTGCACTGAGCAAGGATTGGGCACCATGCCACTACAAAAGCCAACTGAAAGATTGCACCGTGTCCGTTTCGGGGTGTTGGCTGGCAGTCCTTAGTGGGAGGTCAGGCCCATGCGAGTCTTCAGATATTCGTACAGTATGTAACTGATGCAGACTGATGGAACGGCCTTGATCAAGTTTGCAGTAAATCCACGGTAGAACCCAGGCAAGCCATCCGTGCCTAAAATCTTCCAGAAGTATTCCCTCATCCTTGGCTTTTTCATTCCCTTTTCAATGACTAGATAGAAATAAAAACAGCAATAGATCAATGCACATGAACAGGCGACCATTTCCAACAAACACAAGCTGAACTTACTGTTCATTTGATGGTCACCTGAAATTTATTTTGCCTCATCCAGTCACACTCCCTGTTCAGAAGTGTAGTCGTTTTCAAATCTACCAGTTAGGACATGTGATGACATACCTCCATGACAGGTGGGATTTGAAGCAAGACCACATGGCCCAAAGGTAAGGACACTACCACTGTGCTATAACAGCCCTGCATTCAGGAGTGTATACTGACTGCAGTTACCCCTTGATATTTGTGCGTAAGATGCTCACAAAAACAGGGATAGGCTATCAGCTATGGTTCATTGGAAGCAGTATCAAATGGAGGGGGACGAGTAGGCCATTCAGCCCTGATAACTTATTCAATAATAGCTCATGGATGATCTTCCACCAACTCCACATTCCCACTCTATCCTTCAGTTCCCAAAACTCTATCCATCTGTGTCTTGAATACACTCAAATGAGAGAAGGTCCAGAGCCAATTAGGGACGGGGGTGGTGAAACAGAGAAATCTCTCCAGTCGTAAAATGACCCACCTTCCATTCAGAAAGATTAATCACCATACTCTCCCCTTCTAATCTCCTCAGCATTTACCCTGTATTTCAATTTCAATTATGGGCTTACTGCACACAAATGAAAATAGTCTTATCCTGGGAGTCAGCCCTCTCTGAAAGGTTTATACTTCCTGAAATAAGGAGAACTTAACTGTTGACTCTAGGTGTGATTTCACTAAAGCTCTATGCAACTGCAGTCAAGATGTCTTTACCCTGATACTTTAAGCCCTTTGGTGATGAAGTCCAACAAGCCATTTGTATTCATAAATAAAAACAAAGTGGAGAAACTCAGCAGGTCTGGAAACATTGGTGGAGAGGGAAACAGAGTTAACTTTGAGTCCAGGATATTCCTAAGAGTTGTCATACTGGACACAGTATACAAACTAACTGTTTCTCTCTCCAAAGAGGCTGCCAGACCAGAGATTAATTGTTTACTGAACTAGTTTGCTTACTTTTCAAATCACATAGAAGGAATCTCAACCTCTCCAAATACCAAAATTTCCCAGTAGAAAGAAATGATTGGGAGCATAGAACTTAAACACTGCTAAACAAAGTTAAGCTGTTCTGAGGAAGGGTCACCAGACCCGAAACATTAACACTGACTTTTTTCTTCACAGATGCTGCCAGATCTGCTGAGCTTTTCCACCAACTTCTGTTTTTGTTTCTGATTTACAGCATCCGCAGTTCTTTCATTTTTTATGAAGCTGTCAAGTCTTGCACTCATCAGAAATATTCTGCAAAAAGCAAGTGTTAACCCATCTTCTCCCCTCAACAACACCTCCCCCCTCCCCCAACTGACCCAAGTCTGTTTCTGGGTCCTAGTTCTGATGAGTGCATGATGAAGAGCTTAGAATTGGTTTCTGTTGTCCATGTTTAATTTCCCAGCCTCACCATTTAAATATCCCGATAGTCTACATGTCCTGCCAAAATGGTAACTGCACATTTTTCTCATGTTGTATACCATTTGCTACCCTCTTGCCCACTCTTTAATATGCCCAGACCATTTTGCAGTCTATGTTGTCTCTTCACCATTTACTTTACACTTAGCTCACAGTCAGCTAACTTTTAGGAGTCAGTGTAGGTCGCAATTTGCTGATCTGAACATGACCCAATTATTCCTTCTGTTTTCTGTCCATCACTGAATCATCAATCAATGTTAATCTTACCCAAACGTTAAGAGCTCTAATTTCGTGTAACAACCCAGTGCTTTACATTAAAAGCTTTCAGAAAATGTAAATGCTTTACATCCCCTTAACTATGCCGCTAGCCATGATTTCCCTTTCATTAAATCCATGTTAATTCTGACGAATGATTTGCATGTCATTATCACATCACCAACAATAGATTCCCAACATTGCCCTGGTTATTGATGATAAGTTAGCTGATAATTCCCCATTTTCTTTCTTCCCTCCTGATTTCTGTAACAGTGTGGTTATGTTTCCTACATTACAACATAACAAAACCATTTCATAATCTGGTCAATTATGGAAGATCAAAAGCATTATATCCAACGTCTCTTAGGTGAGCTCTTCAAACCCTCAGATGCAGGACATGAAGTCCAAAAAGGATTTATTTTTAAATCTACCCATTTAGACATGTCATGACACACTTCTGAACATCACATCCTGAGCTGAGACTTGAATCTGAACCTTATAGCCCAGTGGTAGGGACACTGCCACTAAGCCACAAGACCCTCAAGTCCAGGAGGATTTGTCAAATTTTAGCATCTCCCAGTTCTATCACTTTATTAAAATTCTAATTATCACAAGCTCTTCATTCTCATTAAAGCCTATGCTCACCACCACTTCATGGAGTCTATTGCGAAGATAGATTCAAACAACCCGATTTTAAACTCAGTAGGTGGTTGGGTTTTGAGTGAATTAAAGTCTCCAATTATTTTGTTTCAAATTTTTGCCATTTCCTTATTGACCATTGAAATCTTTCCTGAACTACATATCCTAGTCAGAAGACTCCAAAATCCAGGATGATAAACGACTGCAGCACTGACTGAATGCTGCTCTGTCGGGAGGGATTAAACAGACTTCATCTCACCAATCGGTCAGGCAAGAAAGAAGTCATGGCACTATTTCGAAGATCATCAGGGGCATTCTCCCTGGAGTTCCAGCCAATATTTGACCCTCTAATAAACATTTAAAAACACATACGCTGATCATGATCAGATTATGGAGTGTGACAGAAAATGTACTGCATGTAAACTGCACGTCAGGTTTTCTACTTAACAACAATGTCTTATTGCATTGGCTGTAAAGGGTTCGCAACTCCTGAAGTTACCAAATGTGCTTTGGAAAGCCAAGTCTTTCAATGGCCAAGCTTCATTATCTGACAACTCAGCCACACTCACCTTGTGCCTGCATGTGAGTATGCAGCACCATCAGTGGGTAACTGGCCAGCTGCCCAACTATATTCGAAGTCGTGGCACTGCCCACGACCAGCAACATATTAGGGCGCTCATTTCCTTTTGTGTATCTCCGTATCCACAAGTTCTTCAGTGTCTGCCAAAACAAAACAAGGACTCTGCTTTTAGAAGACTGCAGAGAGCTTGAAGGTATTTTTCCCTGCTATAGGAAAGTTGTCGTTAAACTTGAAAGGGTGCAGAAAAGATTTACTAGGATGTTGCCAGGATTGAACGGTTTGAGCTCTAGGGACAGATTGAATAGGCTGCGGTTTTCTTCCCTGGAGCATCAGAAGCTGAGGGGTGACCTTATAGAGGTTTATAAAATCATGAGGGGCATGGATAAGGTGAATTGCCAAGGGTTTGAATTAAAATTCATCGCTGTATTCCCCAGGGTAGGGGAGTTCAAAACTAGAGGACATAGATTTAAGGTGAGAGGGGAAATAATTGAAAGGGACCTAAGCGGCTACATTTTCACACTAAGGGTGGTAGATGTATGGAATTAGCTGCTAGAAGTAGTAGTGGAGGCTGGTACAATTACAACATTTAAAAGGCATCTGGATAGGTACATGAATAGGAAAGATTTAGAGGGATATGGTCCAAATTCTGGCAAATGGGACTAGATCACTCTAGGATACCTGGTCAGCATGGACGAGTTGGACCGAAGGGTCTGCTTCCGAACTGTATAACTCTATGACCCGTGAACAAACATCAATGCTGCACCAGAAGTTAAACTGCACAAGACCAAAAATGTACATTATGGAAGCTGTGCGTGCAAGTAAACATGGAAGTGAGAAGGCTTAAAAGGGATTTAGCTGAATCATAGATAATCTACTAATAGTGTGGCAGTGTTTTTACAGCAGCTTTCAAACAAGGAAATATTCCTAAGGCATTTCACAAAAACCGTAACCCAGCAAGATGATGAGATGACTGGTGACTAAAACCTGGTTAGCAAGATAACTTGAAGTGTCTTTGAACAGTAGTCCAGGTCTTGATGCTTCATCAACTAACAGCACGAACTAGATTATACGGTCACTGCTGTTTGTGCAACTTGAATTAAAATTCATCGCTGTATTCCCCAACCTTACAACATTTGCTATACTAAAGCAAATATGTAATTGTCTGCAGAGAGCTTGAAGGTATTTTGGAAGATGCCACTTTAATCCAAATTATTTCTCCATGGCCCCCAATACCCGCCCCCCCTCACTACCAATGCTGTCCATTTGTCATTAAAAGACAGTCTAAATAGAAGTATAAATAATTAGCATTTTTTAAAACTACAGCCCAAATAAAAACCAACCTCGTACACAGCCAGGTCGATACCAGCATAGGGGATGATTCCCAGGATATTTGGCACATAGCCCCTGTAGAAGGTAGAAATTCCTTCATATTTGAATATGTTACTGATTTGGGCATAGAGTTCCCGTGGTTCCCCTGTTTTTCGTAACATCATTCTCGTCTTCAGCATCTATTAGAAGCAAAACCAATTGCACAATCATTAATTCCATTGATTCACATCACAATTTTAAGCAATAGTACCTAGGATTGCAGAACGAATAAGGGTAAGTTGAATAAATTTATGCATCTATGATGATGGGCTAACAGCAGAACTGGCTCAAGGGGCTCAATGGCCTACTCCCATTCTTATGCACGAGCCTTTGTTCATGAGGTTCCTCTCAGAGGCATTAACCTATTTAAAACAATTCTCAACATTTTTACCAAAGCCAAGAAAGGATTTTGAGATTTCTGTCAATACTTTAATGGAAAAGGTGTCAATAACAAGGCCAGCATTAAAAGGTGATAGTGAGCCATCTTCCTGAACTGCTGTGATCTGCCTCGTGCAGGGCGTGCAAGGATTTTAACCCAGGAATGCAGTGAGGGAACAGCAACATAGCTCAGGTCAGCACAGTGTGCTGCTTAGAGGCCTATTCCATTCAGCACTCATCCATTAAAATCACAGCCTACATATGGTGCATCTTAACAGATTCCTCCTAGCCATCTCAAAGCAAGAACTCAGAAACACAATACTGGTTCCCTTCCCTCTACATATTCTTAATCCAAACAATAATAATGATGACATTAAATAGCCAACAGCAGTGAGATGTGCTGTACATTTGTGTTCAAGTTGAATTGAAATTGTCTTTAGTCCCCTAGAGATAATTAGGAAACCAAGCCCAAGCCAGAGTTTAAGTATTAAGAAATATTTCTCACATTTAATTCGCATTCAAATATAGCAGTGGAATATGGTCAAACCATGAATCCTTTTTATTTAACAAAGCAGAGATAATTACATTTTTGCACATACACACACACACAAAAGGCAGTTACTTAGCAATAATTGCCCAAAGTATTCCTGAAATAACAGAGTCTGGTTGGATGTATTTATTTGATGGTAGCTATTAAAGAGGTGGAAACCTGACAAAGTAACAGGGAGGAGTTCTGTTAAGTTTTTTTTAAAAATATGACATTCCATCGACCTTTTCTGAATTAACGCAAAGAATTGTCCCCATCCACAAAGGTTGGCATTGAGAAAGCACTTAACATGATGGATTTTTTCATACCTCAACTGGATAAGTGGCTGTTTGAGAGAATGCACCAGCCATTGAGCCTGCAAGAAATCTTTCCTTCATTCCCAAATTTTCTGGTTCATCCACTATTAGAGTCTTGAACTGTAAATACATTTCAGAAATAAGTTAGAAATCTCAAGGAAATGTTTGCTCAGAACCTTAAAATCACCATTTGCTACTTTTCAAAACATCAGTTCCAAAATCAAATGAAAAATCATGCCATCTATCAAGCCTCCGCCAATCAACTTATATATAGGATTTTCTTTCCAGTTCATTACCCCCTTCATGTTATTAGAAACAAAACTAGCTCTCGGACTTGGGGCTTTAGAATCTTTGTTCTATAACAACTTGTTTATTTCCCAATAATGTAACAAAACAAATGGAATAGTAATGTTGTTATTTCAAAAGTAGATGGTCTGAACGATGTTTTGTACAGTTTGCCAAATCTGAATTCTGCATCCATTCCACCCACCCCCAAAAAGGTTTAGGCCAGCTCTGAGTGCACCAATCGAGAGAAGTCTTTGAATTAACCACTATTTTTAAATACTTCACTTCTGGCCTTTGAGTAGAGAAGAAGTCATCAAGTCAGAACTGAGGAAGTAACCAACTCCTGCTTTTTGTATATGCTGAAAACATTACAACTTTTACAAATGATGTTTGAGCCAATCAGATGAAAGTGCAACAGATTTTGGATAAGGCACTTTTAAAATGACACCAAGGTGTAATGGCTGCACCCTCAGATGTGGAAACATACTGTACCTATGGATCACCCCCAGCACTGCTCCTAGTTAAGTCCAATAACAACAATAAATGACTAATACATTCATACCACAGATCATTCATCGCCCAGATTCTAAAACAGTAGGCTTGTGACCTACTCAACCTCTTCAAAACCACAATATCTTGACTTGTTCTATAGACATGGCCTGCTGGCGATGGTCTTGAAGTTTTTGGGAGTGCGTGTGCCATTTATTTAATTGTGTGGCCATACAAATACAGACAGTTCCTGGGTTGTGAATGGGTTCCGTTCTGGAGTCTGCCTGCAAGCTGTATTGTGTATAATTTGGAACACAATACAAGACAACATCAAGCAGCTGTTCCCTAGTACAGGAAACATTCATAGATCAGGTCTTTAAAATTACAACCACGTACAGGATTGTGTTTGTAAGTATAAGCCTTCATAAATCGAGGCCTTCCTGTAATATCAAGAGGCTAAACAATAATTTAAGATAGGGACAACTTTTGAGTTCTCACTCAACTTAGAGGGTGACAGCTAAGCTCCACCTCAGGTCAGGGCTTAACAAAAGCCAAGATATGTTATAAGACGCCTCCGTGGTAGGTGGGAACTGAACCTGGCCCTTCTGGCCGAGAGGTAGGTGGCACTGTAATTCTACCACAAGATCCCTCCCTCAGGTTAGGATATAATTGCAATGTAGTCAGGAAACTTGACGGTTAAAAAGAGCTTGATAGTTTCAGATACTAAATTAAAACAAAGAACCGCAGATGTGGAAGGTCTGAAACAAAAGCAGAAATTGCTGGAGAAACTCAGCAGGTATGGCAGCATCTGTGGACAGAGAACACAGCATGACAAGTCTGGTGATTCTTCAACAGAACCGATAGCATCTCAGAAAAAGTGGTATTTAAGACGGGGTTGGAGGGTGTGAGGGCAGAAGTAGAGGTGGGGAAAAAGAGGTGAATGGATAGGTAGAGATGGAGTCCAGACAGACAGATACACATTTGAAAGGGGTTGGTCAACAGGGGGATTGTAGATAGTAAACCAGGACAGAAGAGAAGCTGAATAAGTGATAATGAGAGCTAAGACCAGGAGACAATGGGTAGGCTACGATGAAAGCAACACATGATATAACAGTACCAGAGTGTGGGGTGGGTAAAACTCATGGAAGGAAGTAATCAGCCATTGAAGTTATTGACATTAAAACAGAAATTGCTGGAGAAACTCAGCAGGTCTGGCAGCATCTGTGGAGAGAAGGAAGAGTCAATGTTTCGGGTCCAGTGACCCTTCTTCAGAGGTCTGAAGTTTCTCCAGCAATTTCTGTTTACATTTCTGATTTCCAGCATGATTATTTTTTCCCTTAAGTTATTGAACACGATGCTGAGACCTAGAGGCTGCACCGTCCCCAAATGAAAGATGAGCTTGCACTGAACCTCACTGGACCACTGCATCAGGCTCCAGTTTCTGACACTTTCAGAGTGCATTTAAGATGCATCCAATAATTCATTATTTATCATCTCAAACAAATTGCAACCCATGGCGACAACAAAACGCTGTAATTCTTTCATAATACATACCTCTTCATAGGCCATGAACTTGAATGCTAGCTCAGGACCAATTTTGATAATGTTAGTTAGATTCCCTCTCCACATTGAACTTACACCTCCTTCCCTGATCATTGTTCTCAGGCCAGTAGAAACCTTCATCTTATTTTGCCGTGTGGAATAAACCTGAAGAAAACAGGAAAAACAAACAATTCTATTCTAATTCCAGGTCAATTAGCTGGTGCTGACTAGCAACTAAAAATAATCATTTCCACTAGCAACAGCTGGCTACCAATGCAGCAATGTAGGAAAATGTATCTAGGAAAACATTGAAGGGCACAGACTAAATACAAAAAATGTTGATATTTCATTTTTGTATACGTCTGGCGAAAGGTTTCAAGTTTCACAATCCTTGATTCAGTACAACTTAATATCGGTGCGTTTAATACTGGAACACTCTCAGTGCAGAATATCAAACGTCTACCCATCCCCTGTTCATTTCAAATAAACACAAGGAAGGGGATGATATCACGACAGGTTATGATAAGGATTGAACAGGTTGGGGCTCTTTTCTCCAGAAAAGTGAAGGCCAAGGGTCTTGGAACTGCTGGAAAGGTCTGTCACAGTGGGTCTGAGAGGCAATGCTTATAAACTCTGTAGAAAGAGCCACTTTTTCTTTTCAAGTATGTCTAAATTGGCAGCATGCTTGTATTGATGGGAATTCAGGCAATTCTAATTGCTCAAACCAAAGATAAATAAATTACTTGTTAGTTTCAGGCTCCAGAACATGGGAGGCCAGTATAAAATGCTTGCCTTATTTCCTTTAAATTATTGAGGGAACCGTAAAAGAAAATAGAATTAAAACAGGTATTTCAAACAAACTTATCAGACTGTTTGTTCTGTATCTGCACTCGCACCCCTAACAACTCAAATATTGCTGTTATTCAATATACACATCCTGAACAGTGTGCCCTGGGAATCTTCAACCAAATGCCTCAGCATCTTGGAGTTAGCGGTTGTTACCTAGTTAGAATACATTTTGTCTTTCATTCATTATTCCCAAGCTTAAGGGAGCGGGGGAAAACAGGGCCAAGTCACAGAGTAGTCTCTTCCTTCTTCGTAGAATGGTACAGCACAGAAAGAGGCCAATTGATCCATCACATCTGTACTCACTCTTTAGCAAATCTAACAAACGCACAAAGCCTCAAATATTAGAATGACATTAAGCTCTCTTATGCTTAATATTGCTGCATTTTAATGGATCTTCAATACCTCTCCCTCATATGAAGTCAAGCAAACGTTTAGAGGAAGACCTGCACCTCTACCTGTGGCTGAATCCCTGTAACATAACTGCACATCATGATAAACAGAGAGGTGTGGGTACTCTGAAAGTTTAGATACAAGAAAATAATTCAGAATTAGAGGCTAATAAAGCTGATTAATCGCTTGGAAAGCCGAAATGGCAGATTTTAAATCGTAGTCCCACTGGCGACGAGCAATCCTACCTGCATCAACACCCTGAGCCGATCAAATGGGGCAGTCACTGTTCGTGAAACACCTCCAGCGGTGCCTCCTGCTATAAGGTGGCCCCACCACTTCTCCGGTTCCTCATTCTCCAAGAATTCCTCACAATTAGTTATGTCATCATTAATGGAAAAGATCTGCAGAGATTATGGAAGGAACACAAGAGGGGGAAACATGTCATTACAGTGGTAATGCAAATTTCCTGGATAAACTTTATCGGTACTTCCACAACCCTTCCAAAATCAAAAAGAATAAGTTAAAAATTGCAAAGTGTTAGATGCGAATGTTCACCAGGGTGCAGTACAGAGCTTCCAGAATGGGACAACTTGTGTTTTCATGTCCGTGTCATGGAATTCACAGCATATTTTAGGAAAGAAGAAAACCAACAGCAATGTCTGTATCGACAATGTTTAAGTGACAGCAACATTCACACACTCAAACCTCATCCAAGTTTTACACCCTCCTGAAGTCTTTAGACCATAAGACATAGGAACATAATTAGGCCATTCAGCATACTGAGCTTGCTCTGCCATTCGATCACAGCTGATATGTTTGTCAACCCCATTCTTCTGCCTCCTCCCCGTAACCCTTGATACCCTTACCAGTCAAGGACCAATCTAATTCTGTCTTAAAGACACTCAATGATTTATTGCTAGAAAAGTTTGTGGAGGCTGAGTTCCACAGATTAATCACACCCTTTCTTGCAATATATTTCATAAGACAGTAGGCAGTTTTTGACTCCTTTTTCTAACTAATTGCGCAGTACAGAGAAAACAATCCTGATCCATTTGTTCCCATTGGCTTCCATTTTCAGTGTGTGAACATTTTGGTTGTTTTAATGATATTTTTTCCAGCACATTTGATTTTATTATGCCATTGCTGACTAACCCTACATAAAGCATCACTACACATCAAAAGAGTTGAAGTGCCCTAAAAAATTATTTTGAGATGAAGTTAAAAGATAATTTCCTGCATAAAATGCAGGCTTTCCACCTTGGGGTATTTATCCAGGAATGCAGTGTAAAGCCAAAGAATTAGTTTTGGATACTCTACGCACACTGTTGTATCTCCAGACGTCAATCATAGTTCGCATGTTGTCCTCCACAGTTGTTATGTAGATTTCCCGCCATTCATTCCAATCCATATCCATATAATCATTTGGGTCCAAGCTGATAAATTGCAACAATAGAAAGAGCAGTATTTGGTTTCTTGACATCTGAATTCCTTTTGTAAATACATAAATTAGCACACAGAAACATTAAAACATTTAATATTTATTACACGTAACGCAACATTTAAGGATTCACAATTGGTGAACATGAACAGAGGACAATACAGCACAGGAATAGGCCCTTCAGCTCTTCAAGCCTGCACCGACCAAATTTGCCCTTCCATACTAAAACTGTCTTCACTTACAGGATCCGTATCCCTCTATTCCCTTCCTATTCATGTATTTGTCCAGGTGTTCCTGCTATTGTGCCTGCTTCCACCATCTCCTCTGGCAGCATGTTCCAGGCTCTCACCATCCTGTGTGTGAAAAACATGCCTCGCATATTTCTTTTAAACTTCTCCCCCCCACCGCACCTTGAACCTGTGTCCCCTAGTAATTGATCCCTCCACACTGGGGAATAAACCTCATACTTTCCACTCTATCCATGCCATTCACAATCTTATAAACTTCTATTAGGTCACCTCTCAATCTCCTGCGTTCCAGTGGAAACAAACCCCATCTATCCAACCTTTCCACCTAGCTAAAATCCCCATATCAGACAACATAGATAAGGGGAAGCGATGACCCAGTGGTATTAATTCAGAGACACGATTAGGGGCGGCACAGCAGCTCAGTGGTTAGCACTGATGCCTCACAGCACCAGGAACCTGGGTTCAAATCCACCCTTGAGCGACTGTCTGTGTGGAGTTTTGCACATTCTCCCGGTCTCAGCATGGGTTTCCTCCGGGTGTTCCGGTTTCCTCCCACAGTCCAAAGATATGCAGGTTAGATGGTTTGGCCAAGCTAAATTGCCCATAGTGTTCAGGCATGTCCAGGCTAAGTGGATTAGCCATGGGAAATGCAGGGTTACAGGGATAGGGTTAGGGAGTGGATCTGGGTGGGATGCTCTTCGGAGGGTCAGTGTGGACTCGATGGGCTGAATAGCCTGCTTCCACATTCTATGAACACCATGGTAAACCTTTACGATACACTCTCCAAAGCATTTATATACGTCTGGTAGTGTGGTGACCAGAACTGTACGCAATTGTGCTTTTGTAAAGATCCGAAGCCACTGTCCAAAGTATATAGGGCCATTCTCCCAATATCCTGGCCAACGTGCATCACTCAACAAGTACAATAACAGCAGATTAAATTGGTCATTATCTTGGTGCTGTGCACAAATAGCATCTGCACTATTTTAGAAGTTCAGTGTTTGTGTCCCCAAGTCTGCACCAGGGGTGTGTGACAACATCACTGAACAGGTTGAGTAGAAAATATCTAGAAGTACAATTACTGCTGTAATTTATTGGCTGTGAAGCAGTTTGGAACATCCTGGAGATCTGAAAGATACCAATCATATATGGCATCATCTCCAGAACTTGAACTCAAATCCACCTCACTCCTTCGATGGTTTGAAGATTCCATTAAGCAAAGTTGATCGTCTCATTCCAGTTCCCAAATGTCTGTTGACCAGCAGTTTTCATTTACCTACTACCTTAAGTAACAGAACATTACAAGGCACTTAACAGCATTACTCATAAAAATCTGATGTCAAGCCACACAGGACATATCAGGGCATCTGACCAAAAACCTGTGGAAACAAAGGAGTTTTAAAATGCCCTGAAGGAAGAGGCAGGTCAAAAGTTTAGGGAGGGAACTCCAGAAATGACCTTCCCTCCATCACAAGGTCATAAATGGGGACGTTCGCTAATTATCTAACAACGTTCAGCACCATTCGCAACTCCTCAGATACTGAAGCAGTCCATGTCCAAATGCAACAAGATCTGGACAATATCTAGGCTTGGGCTGACAAGTAACATTTGTGCCACACAAATGTCAGACTATGGCCATCACCAATAATAGATGATCTAACCACTGCCCCTTGACATTCAATGTGTTACCAACACTGAATCCCCCACTACCAATACCCTTGGGGTTACCATTGACAGAAACCCAACTGGACTCGCCATGTAAACACAGTGACTACAACAGCAGGTCAATGGTTAGGAATACTGCGGTGACTAATTCCCATTGACTCTCTGAAGCCTGTCCACCATCTACAGACATAAATCAGGAGTGTGATGGCACACTCCCCACTTGCCTGGATGGGTGCAGTCCCAATAATACTCAAGTTTTACACCATCCAGGACAAAGCAACCCACTTGATTGTGGCCCACATCCATAAACATCCACTCCCTCCACCACTGATACTCAGTAACAGCAGTGTGTACTATTTACAAAATGCACTGCAGAAATTACAGGAAGATCCTTAAACAGCACCTTCCAAACCCATGACCACTTCCACCTAGAAGGACAAGGGCAGCAGACACATGCTAACACCACCACCTGCAAATTCCCCCACCACTCCCCCATCCACTCACCATCCTGACTTGGTGACATATCGCCGTTCCTTCAATGTCACTGGGTAACAATCCTGGAATTCTCTCCCTAAAGACACTGTGGGTTATCCTACAGCACATGAACTACAGCAGTTCAAGAAAGCAGCTCACCACTAACTTCTCAAGGGCAACTAGGGAAAGGCAATAAATGAGGCCAACTAGCAATATCCTTGTCCCACAAGTGAATTAAAAAAAAAGGATGGTCTTAAGCTTGCAACTCATCTTTGTGAAATTATGATTTATTTTAACAAATGTATTTTGCACAACTTGAACTGACTTACTGATTAAGAATTCTGTTTGCGTGGAAAAGATTAATACTGACATGCAGTCTTCCCATGAGGTGCATAATCCTCCATTTGCTTATGTTCCCTAAACACACAAATATGAATGGAAAATTAAAATACTGCAGATGCTTGACATCAGAACTAAAAACAGAAAATGCTGTAAATACTCTCGTGTTTCTTTCCAGGTGCTGCCTGATCTGCTTTGAATTTCCCACTCCTAATTCATAGTAATTGTACTGCATCGAAAGAATCAAAGCAAAATGCTTCCAAAATGTTGGAAACCAAAAGAAAACCAGAAAATTGTAAAAATATTGAAATCAGGCAGCATCTGTGACAAAAGAACATTTCAGGCTCATGACCTTGCATTGGAACTTAAAGCTCGTTTGAGAGGCTGTAGACAGAGGGAAGATTCTACAAACCAACTTGCATGCAGGTATAATGAATTAGAAGCAGGCCATTTGGCCCATCTAGCCTACTCCACTATTTCACATCTGATTTGATTGTGGCCTCAATTCCACGTTCCCACCAATTCAAAAAAACCACATACTCCCTTATTAGTCAAGAATCTACCTCTGCCATGGAATTACTTAATGAGCCTGCTCCAATATTCTGGGATAGTTCCAAAGACACTCAACCCTCAGGGAAAACGTTCAGACTCCTCTGTATGAAATAGGAGAGTCCTAATTTTTAAAGTGGGTCATCTAGCTACAGTCTCTCCCATAAGAGGAAGCATGTTTTCACCATCCACCCTGTCAAGACCTCCGAGGATATTGTTTCAACACTATTGTCTCATTCTTCTAAACTCCAAAGGATAACTGCACAGAAGCTCATGGCATTGAGGGTAATGCAGTAGCTTGAATTGAGATTAGTTAACACATGAAGGAGGGAGTTGGGATCAATAGGTTCTTTTCTAGTTGAAAAGACGAAACTAATAAAGTGCCACAGTGATTATCCCTCAAGCATCAATTATTTACTATCTATGTTAATGATTTAGAGGAGGGTGCAGACTGTAATGTGTCCAAATTTGCAAATAATACAAAACAGTACATGTGGGCATGTTTTGATGAGGACATAAGGGATTATAGGTAGGTTCAGTGAGTGAGCAAAAGCTTGGCAGATGGAGTTGAATTGAGCAAAGTGCCAGGCTGTGCACTTTGGTAGGAAGAATCAAAAGAGAGACTATTATTTGAATGGAGAGAGTCTCCACAAATAAAATGCAGCACAGAGGGACCTAGATATTCTTCTGCACGAGTTAGCATGCAGGTACAACAAGTAACTAAGGTGGCAAGTGGAATTGTTGCTTATACTGCTAAAGGACTGGAGTTTAAAAACAGGGAAGTCTTGTTAACACTGTACAGGGAGTCAGTGAGGCCAGACCAGGAACACTGTGTCAAGTTTCGGTCCCCATATTTAACAAAGGATGTACTGGCATTGGAGGCAATTCAAAGGAGATTCACGAGGATGATTCCTGGGATGAAACAGGCTTGACTATCAAGAATAGCTAAACAGGTTAGGCCTTTATTCGTTAACAGTGTAGAAGAATGAGGGGTGATCTGACTGAAACATACAAGATTCTGACAGGTACTGACAAGCAAATGTTGAGAAAACATTTTCCACTAGTCAGGGACATCTTGACTAGAGGGTATAGTTACAGAATAAGGAAAAGACTTTAAAACTAAGATGTGAAGGAATTTCTTCTCAGTGATTAGTGAATGCGTGGAATTCTTCACCCCAGAGGGTTGAGGAGTCTAGTTCACTGAATGCGTTGGAAGAGGAAATAGATAAATCTGTAAAATATCAGAAATCTAACATCTGACTGGCAGGGAATAGAGAGATAAGGACCACATAGAAGCAAATGGCTTTTAGTTGAGAAAGATTTCATGTATTGTTGCAGTTTGGTGGGAAGGGCCTGTTCCCGTACTGTACTGTTGTTTGTTCATCTAGGAGGAGCAGGCGAAACAGAGGAGTTGAGGCCTGGGACAGATCAGCCTTGATCTTGTTTAATGGCCAGGTAGACTTTGAGAAGCCAAATAGCCTACTCTTGCTCCTTTTTATGCTCTAATCGATACAGGCCCAACCTCTCCTCATAACATTCTCTTCCCAAATATCAGTCAAGTGAACTTTGGCAGAATTGCTTCGCACATATTTTACATCTTTTCTTAAATGAGACCAAAACTTCACATGTGGCCTCATTAGTGCTTGATATAACTGTATGGTGGGGAGTTCAAAACTAGAGGGCATAGGTTTAAGGTGAGAGGGACCGGGTGACTTTTTCACACAGAGGGTGGTGCATGTATGGAAATGAGCTGCCAGAAGTAGTAGTGGAGGCTGGTACAATTACAACATTTAAAAGGCATCTGGATGGGTATATGAAAAGGAACGGTTTAAATGGATATAGGCCAAATGCTGGCAAATGGGAGTAGATTTATTTAGGATATCTGGTCGGCATGGACAAGTTGGACCAAACAGACTGTTTCTGTGCTGTATATCTCAATGACTCTAACTGAAAATTGATTCCTTCAGTGTAAGGAGTTTAGTAAAAGTTTCAGGCCAGAATTGGTTGGTTAAAACCCTGAAGAGGTTGTTTGAAGCAGACAAAGTTTATGCTCAGTTACATGACAAATCAAACAACAGGCTATCAAATTCTCAATGGGAATGGAGTCCACAGCTAAGTCAAATGCTATGTGGGATAGAGAAGGGATTTCTCTCCTACTACAATGAAGTTATGCTCTTGGATTAATCTGATTATATTTTTACCATGTTTTTTGAAATCTTTAAATTTGTGTTATATGTAAATAGCTTGGTTTATTCCATTTTATCTTCATTTCTTTTGCATAATAAACTTTGATTTCATTGTTGAAGCCAAATCTGTTACAATGTCTGCTTATGTTTCAGTGAGAGACTACCTCATTAAAACCAAAAATAAATTATGATCCATCAAGCTAGATTTCAGTGTGGATTCAACTTGCCCAGTAATAATGCTAGATTGGACAAATGCATACATCTCTGATTCTGATGGGGCATTAAGAATCGACCACTGAATGTGGAACCAACGTAAGCCAGGACATTGTTGAACTAGCTGGGATTTTATATTTTTTCTGAAGAAGGGTCTCAACCCGAAACGTCAGCTTTCCTGCTCCTCTGATGCTGCTTGGCCTGCCGTGTTCATCCAGCTCTACACTGTGTTATCCGGGATTTTACATCAATCTGGCAGCTTCCATGGTTATTTATTGGACAATCACAGTTTGGCACATGGATTCAGCTCATTAAAACAGGATACAATATCCTCCAAAACATTCTCGCAGGAGAGCCTCAGTAAACAGCAACAAGACTAAGACCTTGCACTCTGACCTAACCCCACAAAAACGACGGTCTTTAGTTCAACCCCGATACCTACACATCCAGTTCCCACATGTGCTTAATGTCCATTCATAGGTAAAGTTCTAAAGTTGCTTGCTTGGAATCAGTAAAACTGTCAGCAATCACAGTCTAATAGTTTAAAAAAAAAACACACTTGAGGTCAGCACTGACTTACCACCTCTGTTCTTTGTGACTTTTCCAAAACCCAGCAATAGTTTCTTGTTGTTCCTCTCAAGGTATTTCCGGAACGCCTCAAAATTTTTAGTTTTCGATTCTTCCTGTAACAGTCATTTTATTTGAAAAAAAGGGAAAAATAATTCATTAAACACAATTAATTTCTTCTAGATAGGTACGGGAAATAAACAGAATAAGACTATTTATTCTGGGCATTGATAGATTTATGCACAGGAAGTGGGGAAAAGTGCGATAATAACAGACCTCCATTTTCGTCTTGATATAATGTGCGATATCAACTTTATTTTTCAAATTGCAAACATTTCATACAGTATTTTGCCTTGGCAATTAAATATTTTCTCTCAGTTAAGGGAGAGAGTTTATTTTTTGAATAATTACAACTCTTCTAGTTTATGCTAGGGAAACCTTGTGATGCTATGTAGAGTGCCTCTGTACACTCCAGGACTTAAAGGTTATATGAAACAGGAATAAGATTAGGCTGTTCGGCCCCTTGTACCTGCTCCACTATCCGTGAATCATAGCTGATTCCTCACATCCACTTTCCTGCCTTTGCCCCATAACCTTGATTCCACTACTAATCAAGAATCAATCTCAACCTTAAATCTACACAAGGACACTGCCCTCACAACTCTCTGTGATAAAAATTCCCAAAGACTCAACTCTCAGAGAAGAAACTCTTCCTTATTTCAGTCATAAACTGACACCCCTTTATTCTGACACCATACCCTGTGGTCCTTGACCCTCCCATGAGGGGGAAGCATCCTCTCAGCATTTACTGTCAAGCCCCCTAAGATGACTTGATGGCCCAGGGGATTATTAAGCTGTAAATCTATTCAACTCATGCAAAGGGTGAGCAGTAAGAGTGGGAGAAATTCCCGGTCAGCCAGGCAATAGAAAGAAATTGGAGATTCCACCATCATTGTGCACAGCTTCTGGCTGCAGGAAGCATGTTGCTAGTAGCAATGTGGTCTCCTCCTGGCTCAGGGGCTATTTGACTGAACAGCCGATCAGACTGGTACTAAGAACACACATTCATGTACCGTTTTAGTTGGAATAAATCCTGCTTACCTTACCCATTTTGGAGCTCATAGTGCTGTGAAGAGGAGACTTGTTCATGCCAAGGTATGGATGCAACAGAAATTACACCAGAGATTTCATCAGGCAACGCTATCAATCAAATACTTGTTAACAATGAGGATAGTTCCCAATCCCAAGAGGTGCTAATCAACTTAAATCAAAAATTCTGTGCATTAAAGTAAGCCTCATAATTTAGGCACAGCTTTTCCAGCTAGAATGTAAATACCTTGTTAACCAGTTAATATAAAGGTTGAGCTTGCTGACACCAAGGAGCATGTGCTTCAGCAGCACTGTTACCTAATAAACACTGAAGAACTGCACTGTGCTACTAGAGGTTGGTCACCAGATTAAATCTGAGCACTGTATCCAGCTTTAAATTCCAAATATAGCAGGTGATGGAGATTTTCTGTTTTTTAAATTGAGCAATTATAAAATTCAGCACAACCATATTATCCAAACTTTTATCACCAGCAGTAATTGCAATATTAAATTTTTTTTAATAGGAATTGACTGGGTGGTTAGAAAGAAACTTTTGATGGGACAACAGAACAGAACTGAATGGGCCAAATGGCCTAATTCTGCTCTTATCTCTTATGGTCTTAGATCAATGCCAGGCCATTCAGGAAATAATTTAGGGAACGCTGCATGCAAAAGATGGTAGTAATGAGGAATGCTTTCAACAGTATTTGATGCAAGTTCCATGAAATGTTTTGCATCTGAAGCAGACAGATTTTTGTGGCCACAAAATACAGATCAGCAAGGACTACATTAAATAGCAGATCAGGCTCAAGGATTTGAATGACCACGTCCTGTTCATAACTTCCAGGTGCGATAGTAGGCAACAAAAATTCTGACTGCAAAATATGGAACTGCATCTTTACTTGAGTAATGCACAGTTTGTGGTATAATATACAGATATTTTAATTAAGGCACTGTCCTCACATTAAAAGCACTGTACCTGTGAAACATCTTCTAAAGCATGCACTAGGTCCAGAGCATCTATGCGGCCATCCCTGTGAACATTTAGTCTCCTGTAAAGATTATCCCAAAATATGTCTGGCGCTAATGTCTCATCAGGGGCACCTCTTTGGAAAATCTCTTTCATAAACAGGAACATTGCAAGGCCTCCTAAAACACAAGAGAGAAACTTCCAAAGTTCCACAGATTGCGTATAAAGCAACAAGGAGTAGTCGACTTCATTTTATCTCCACTCTTATTAAATATTAAATTTGACATTAAATATTAAACAAACAGCATACTGATTCAGGGATCCCACTGTACAACCTTCAACTTGAATGCATTGAAGCAGTTTGTATCGAACTCGCAGTGAATTCTTGGCCAACTCCCCAGGCACCTGAATGCAGCAGCAAATAATGGCAATATGCCTTTTAAGAGAGGGGCAAGGGTTTCACGCATCTGTTTCTGACAAATGGTAAGATCATGGATCTCCACTGTATACAAGTCACCCCCTTCTGTCAGCAACAATCACCTTCAGTTCAGGAGGTAGGTTGAAATGCCACACGAATACCATGTGAACATATGCTCTGGACCAGCACCAGAGATGCAGTCCTCCATATGGGCTGCTTAAACTGAAACCACCTCAGCCAACATGACTGGGCATTCAGAACTAAAACAGGAAGGCTGTGGATCAGATTGGTTTTCTAGAAGGATGCGATCAAGTGGGATAAACAGACTTGATCTGAATTGTTGTAATCTCTTTGCACCAAAAGTACACACCCCAAAATAAAGCAAACTCAAGAACTGTAAATGCTGATCAAATAAGTAGCTGCACTATGCAACTGATCAGTGAATCAGAAATCCACTCAAATTCCAGCACACCCTCAAACTCCCATACCCAACAAACGTATGGAAAGTGGTTGCAAATTGATTTGCACATGCACTACTGGCTTCTTGCTACCCAAATGTGTGTGGACTGCAGTGGTTCAAGGTGGGGGCTCACCAGAATCTCCCCAGCAGCAGTGACACTTAGATCCCACAAATTGGAGAAAAAAAATGAACACTGGCAGTCCATGGTAACTAAAAGCTCTGACATCTTGTGATATAATTTCTCCAAGTCTGAATATTACCAATTCATAGTTAACCTTCTGGTAACGAAGCCATCCACTAGGAGCTGAAATTCCAAGTTTAGCACAGCCTGAAGTAGCAGGAGATTGAAAAGAGCAGGCAGCTTAAATCATTCTCTAACACGTTTTGGGTATAATAACATTGACAGTAGGTTTAAAAAAGTAAGTTGAGAATCAAGAATCAGCTTATTGGTTAAGTGCACCCCACCCCCCCGCCCTGCCCCACCCCACCACGTGCATGCCAAGTAGTGGGGCATGTGGGGACACAATGGAAGGTGATCAAATGGGAAAAATAGCTAACAAATCTACATTAAGCACGAGCCTTTTATTTGAACTGCATTTATTAGATAAACGGGCAATATTTAAGCATCCAAACAGTGACAACCTCAACTTTCAGAACAACATAATCTCAGCATAAAAAAACCATCAAATATTCCACGCTGCATTACCATACCACAGAATCTGGGATCCTTTCTTGGCAAAGTAAGTGCTCAATGACATGCTATGGTCCTGATGCCATTACATTCATTCACATGACTATAAATATTGATATCTCACTGCTGAGAAGGCAACTTCCATTTCATGGACTGAAAAGGAATTCTGGTTTCTTAGACATGTCACAATACTGCAGTGACATCGCAGTGGAATCAACCACGTGGACTGCCTGCGGGGGAGAAACCTCAGTAATAATGTGTGCAATGCATGGCTTAATTCATTTTACTACCTACAAATAATAGCCAGCTTAACTCCAGGGATAGTACTTTGGTAGAAGTTCCCATTCCAAAAGAGAAGGTTGCACGTATTGGTCTGTTTCCAAAAGTTCAGCAGATGTCTTTTGACAGTGTAGTAGCGAGGAGGTGCTACAATGTTGGAATGTCTGTTCTGCAGACAAGATATTAGGTTACCGTCATGCCGAATACATTAGACAGGGGTTAAAGATCTCCAGATTCACAAGGTGGGGACTGGAATCTGTATACTCACCAACATGCTACCCTTCCTGGTCTCTCTCTCAGTCATCGGTTCCCATCTTGGATCATCTGGACTCAAAATATTCACCTCTGGGAAGCATCCAGCTTAACCATTCTGCTCACCAAGAAACAAGATATTCTTTGATGAATTCTACAGTAAGGTTATTGGAAAAATCTCAGAACTTCATCTCATAAGATTCTCAAAGTGAATCAAGGCTCATTAGGCAAGATTTTTCACTCAAGACATAGTGATTGATACACAATTATTTTGTGTAATGACACTTTAATTAATGTTCTATCAATTCCATTACTTTAACACATCCACAGAAACAAGAAAATCTGGAAGAAATTTTCTTGTGCCTTTGTCATGAACCTAGATGAAGCTCAAACCAATAAATTAGTGTCTGTGGATGGTTCCAAATTTTTAACGCTGTGCACTGTTTGTTCATATAGGCAAATAGCAATATTAATTTACATGCAGCACTTCTGAATATTTGTGATGGATACTATCACAGAGGAGATACACAGCTCATCGATAAGCATTGATTACAATCAGGAGCTGACAGCACAGTTCAACAGTAGGATTTTGAAATAGTAACTGCGTTGGCAAGCCAGAGGTAAGTCGAGTAGAAAAATTCCAGAAGACAGCAGTGTCATGACTCAGAGAATCAAGAGAACGGCTGGAAACCATAGGAATTTTTTAATCCACTCTTTCATGGGAGGTGGGTGCTGCCATTATTGCCCATTCCCAATTGCCCCAAGGACAGTTCAGAGTCAGCCACATTGCTGAGCATTTGGAGTCACATGTAGGCCAGACCGGGTAAAGATGGCAGATGTCCTTTAGGGAAGAAAATTAGTGAACCTGATGGATTTTAATGATAATTGGCAGGTGATGACGTGTTGCCATTTTATTGTCCAATTTTTGTTGAACTAGCCATCGGAATGCACAAACATCAGCTAGCAGCAAAATTACGCAACAAACTTTCCTTAATATCAGTACACTTGGACAATGAAGGCCATCAGTTTAACTGGGACAACATAACCACAGTAGCCCAAGCCAAACATAGACATGCATGGCAATACCTAGAGGCATGGTTCTCAAACCATAATGCAATCAAACATATAGAATTAGACCCCATATACAAACCCATACAGAACAAAACCAGAAATGACAGTACTCACCATTACGGACCAGACAGTATAAATTCCAAGTGGAGTAGAACAACATTGTTTCATCGGAGGCCTCACTGATGAGGTCATCTAGCATGGCGACGCAACGTCTGGACAAGAACAAGCCAACTCAGTGAGCAAGTCAACAACCCGAGCTACAGATCTTTGCTAAAACCTTTGTTAAATTCTAATTTCACCATCGATCAAGTTGGGATTTGAATCCCAACCCCATCTCCAGAACATTAGCCCGTGGTTCTGGATTACTAATCCAATGAAAATACCACTACACCACCACCTCCTCATAAGAGAGGTCTGAGAACAAAGGCAGGATTTTTGAAATAAAGTATAATAGGCAAAACTCAGGTTGGAGACAGTGCAATACACAGCACTTTCAAGTGGATGGCTAGAAAGTCAGAAATTCTGTTCCTATGTACTCTGCCCTCCTTAAAACTCACCTGCCTGTTCGAACTTTGAAAGCCATGAACTGCAGTGTCTTTGGGTTGAAGTTTGTGGAGGGGTGAGGCGCAGATGACATTTGAGACTAGGCTAGACCATTCCAAAAGTGTTTTACAACCTTCATGACAGGGAAAAATGGGTTAAGAGCTAGAGTAGTCCACTTGGTGTCTCCAGTCTGCCATTCAATAAGATCATGGCTGCTGCACATTCCTGCCATTTCCCGGTAACCTTCCATTCCTGTTGCTCACTGAGAATCTATCTCAGCCTTAAAAATATTCAAAGAAAATTCCACAAATTCCATTGCCTATTAAGGTAGGACTGAAAAGACTCCAGACGGAAAAAAAAACAACCGTCTTAAATGTGCAACCTCTTATTTTTAAACAGTGACCCTTAATTCTAGATTCTCCTTCAAGTTGATATATCCTCCCTGCATCCGCCCTTTCCAAAGGTTTCAGGATCCTATATGTTACAATCAAGTCATCTCTTACTCTTCTAAACTCCAGCAGATACAAGCCTAGCCTGTGCAATCTTTCCTCATAACACTTCATACCCATTCCAGATATAGGTCTGATAAACCTTCCCTCCACACTTACAAGGTAATTATTTCCTGAAATAAGGATGCCACAATAAAAAAAAACATTGTTGGAAATGCCCAAACAAACAGGCATGTTTTCCAGACAAAATAAAATAGGAGGTATCTGTTCTCCATCTAACCAAGATGCATGCAAATTGGGGATGTGTGAAGTATACAACTGGATGGGCTGGAATGATAGGTTTTCCATTATCCAACAGTAACATTTCTCACTCCTTGCCCTTCCCACACCTTTATCATTACCTTGACACTCCCTAACCAAGGTGAACTTGTGTAAATTTCAGGAAAGCATCCTGAAATGAATCACAAGAAATGGAAGTGAGAAGGTGAAAAGTTGGGCTGGGGCAGGGGAGCACACAGTGCAGAAGAGAGAGGAGGAGGTGGAATACGACAGAAGATTTGATTTTAAATAGGTCCACCAGAAGGTGTACTGGAAACGAGTGTAGTACAAATGCTGAACATCGAAGAGCTTCCCAATACTATAATATGGAACAGATGAAATCATTGTTAATTACAGCCATGCTGAAGGAAACAGGGGATGGCAAGGAAATAAAATACTTCTGTCCCTCAACCTTATCCAGGCATATCAATGAATTATCCTTGGCAGTATCTTCTAATTCAAATTCTCTTATAGCATACCCTACTGGCTATTTAATGAATTTTTCCTGTGTTAGAAAACCACTCAATGTACTTAAGTGTTTGACTGGAACACCATCTAGTGGATCTCCAAGAGTTTGCAAAGCACAATGTGAGTAGCGAGAAGATAGCAAGAACTGTAGATGCTGGAATCAGAGTCGATACAGCATGGAGCTGGAGGAACACAACAGGTCAGGCAGCATCACAGGAGCAGGAAAGTCAATGTTTCAGGTTTACAGCCTTCATCAGGATTGTTTGGTTATACTTACATTTCACTGTTCTTCAAAACAGCTACAGCTTTAGTCATGTTGGTATGGTATAACTTCTAATTCCACCCCAACAAAACAGGCTGTTATGCCAATTAGTGAAATACTAACCACAGTAATATTTTCACTATGAATTGATTTTATTTGTTGTATCCTCTCCATCATGGTGGTAGGATTTGTCTGTTGATTATGTATCAGCTAATGCAAACTTCAGGAACATCATGAACAAGACCATCACAAGTAGACCTTGCGATACTGTATCGGTCAAAACCAAAACTGGCCCAGTCTCTTAGAAACTCAAGCAGCTGCACACAACTAAACACAGCGAAACCTATCTACTGACCAGCTACACAAGATTGAGGCCTACCATCAGATGATCACAAAGGCTGGAGCAGCCTGAGCTGCTTAAGTTTCATCAGAAATGACTGCAGAGAAATTCAAGGTGGTAAACTAGACAGGGAATTAAACTTCGCAGTACATCAAATTGAAGATAATTACTAAATCAAAAGGACATGGAACAAAAAAGGGGGGCAAATGCATGACGATCACATTGGCTCCATTAACTGTGGAGCTCATTTTACAAAGTTGATCTGTGATGGAAAAACAAACACCCTGAAGTTATGCAACAATAAATTTGCTTGTTGGTCCAATGGGCAGAGGTCCATAGTTTCTTTCTACAAATTCCATCTGGATTTATCTTGTGAATTCCCTCAGCCTAGTAACCAGTCATACCACCAGACTGCACACATCAGGTTCCTTCAAATAAACACACTTCTGTCAGAGCATCAACAGCTAGAAAATCAACCACAGCTTCTGATCAGTTTAATCCTTTTAGTACAAACAAATTTGTTTTCGATGTGCCTCTCTCTTCAATGACCAGATCCAAGACACTAATTTCAGTGGGATCATCAGTTACACGGTTTGAAGAAAATAGATTCCTCAGATAAAGGATTTGCAATCTGCACGACAGCATTCACTACCTTACTGAAAATACCGGTAATTCTTCAGTTGCAGTTCATCATCCTAACCTGGTATCAATGTGGGCACTGTTGTGCTGTAGATGCAGAAGCAACATACACAGATGGTACAACTCAACTAATCAGCTACTCTTGCTGACACAGTCATTGTGAACACACCCACTTTGATAAAGCTACAAAAAGACACGACAATGCAAGTTCCATGCAGGTCCTTCAATTGCAACATATGGGTGGCACAGTAAAAGATGTTGGCATTCCATGGGCCAACATTTTATAAACATCTGTAAGGCACAGCATGAGCCAAACCACAGAATGATCAACACAAGAAACCTTTCAGCAGCATCTGTGCAAATCCACAATCAAACTACGTATCATTAACGTTATTTAGGTAGGAAAAGAAATAATGTCAAAGTGCCAGCGTTGTACTGGGGTGGACAAAGTCAGACATCACATGACACCAGGTTATAGTCCAAGTTTATTTGAAATCACAAGCTTTCAGGGCAGAGCCCCCTCATCAGGCGCAGTGAGAGAGAACAGCACACAGACTCAGAATTTATAGGCACAGACATAAAGGCAGAGAGATCAAAAGATCATACAAATGGCATGAATAGAGTGTCAAATAATAATTTCCTACAGTGACCAAGAGTGTTAGACCGTGAGAGTAAAGTGTCAACAGCTGAATAACAAGCGAAGGGGTGACCTATAATCCAATTAAGTGAGGCAGAGAGATAATTACAAGAAATTAAAAATAAGGTGTTGCTGGAGACAAACTAAATGAACTGGGGAAGTTAACAGAGATCTGCTTTGGAGGACGCTTACCTGAAGATCGGAGGCTGAATGTCCTTGACTGTTGAAGAGTTCCCCGACTGGGAACTGGAAGCCTTCAGGACAACATCGACCACAACACCACATAACCCTGTCATAGCAACCTCTGCAAGACATGTCAGGTCATCGACCATGGACACTACTATCACATGTGGTAACACCACCTATGGCAGGCACTTGTGACTCGGCCAATGTTGTTTATCTCACACACTGCAGGCAAGGATACCCCAAGACATGGTATACTGGCAGATCACGCAGGCACAACGGCAACGGATGAATGGACACTGCGCAACAATCACAGTCAGGGAACACATCAGCGGTCAAGGACATTCAGCCTCCAACCTTCAGGTAAGTGTCTTCCAAGGCAGACTTTGAGATACACAACAACGCAAAATTGCCAAGCAGGGACTGATAGCCAAGTTCCATACCCATGAAGACGGCCTCAACCGTGATCTCGGGTTCATGTTGTGCTACATGTGACCCCAACACACTGTTCTGTATCTGTAAAACCTTCCTTAATGTCCTGTTTTGACACCATCACCTTGATAAATCGTTATAATCTCTCTACCTTAACTAGTTTGGACAGTCTTAGATTACTTGTTACTTTGGTTGGACATTCAGCATGCGACTTTTATACCTATTATGTACATATCACGTGGGATGTTAACTGGCCACAACAGTAACAGGGTCAGGGTCTGATAAGGTGAGGCTTGGAGAAATTGGACACATTTCGTTCAGACAGCACTGTTTTACTGTTGACCTCTGCCGTTACACAGGAAAGTGGAGACCAGGTGGCAAGCACAGACCTGTACCGAGTCAGCCAAGAACGGCTCTCCTACCTGCAGCTAATGCATGGCATGACAAGATTGATAACGAAGGAACCTTGCAAAAACAAACAGCATGGACCAATGCATCACAGGGCAACATGTGCAACAGTAAGCAGACTATGTCAAATTCAGATTCAGAGTTCCAATTAACGAGGTTGCAAGTGTGATTACAACCTTTATACAGCACCAAAGACCTCCATTAAATCGCACTGCTCTTAAAGCCAAAAGTTTAATTTTCAAATTCAGAAGTTTATTGTTTATTTTAGTACAATTGCAACTATTGTTCTCAGTTTCTGGTAAACAGAAAGATTTTCTAAAATAAGAGACAAGTATGTTCTCAAACAGATTAGCACTCAAGATTCTATTGTACGAGATTGATCAAAAGGCAGCAAATTCACGACCATTCTTCGGAATCACTATTGCCAAAAGATGGACAGTACATATAGTGACCACCCAAGGTTAAACAAAAGTCCTGTTAGACATCCAGGCTACCGAAAGTCAGATCTGTTATGACAGCACAGCACTGTGCAGCAAAAGGTGAAACTGTACCCTTAACCAACAGAATTGCCAGCGATAATGGTTAGAGCAGTGGAGAAAGGGCAGAACGATTTACTGGGATATTACTTGAGCCAAGTTTATACCTGGTCGGAAAAATTGCACAGGCTGGGACTGCTACTAAGAAAGAATCATGCAAGGAGATGCTTTTAACATTATGAAGGCATTTGATAAGGTACGCTGAGAGAGCTCCTTCTGTGCACCAATGACAGCTTAAGTGGGAGACAGAAAGACAAGACTAATAAATTAGATGGGGATGTTATAAAAAATTCTTCAAGAAGCTAGTTAAACGTAAGCAGAAAAGAACAGAAGGATATGTTGAAGAGTTAAAGATATGAGAGGAGATCAGTGTGGAGGATGAATGTCACTGTAGATCAGATGGCCTGTTTCACTATACAACTGATTACATACTAGACTCTTAAGCAAATGTCAATTCTTCACTTTGGGTGCATCATTGTCATGGACTGACCACCAATGCAGCAGACAGATTAAACAAACTATCCAAACGTGTGGAATTCCTGTACAGAAATGAACCGTGACAAATGGAGATAGCTTACTCTCTGGAAGGACATAAAAGCATATAGCGGTTATATTTCAGGCAGGACCCAAAAAGGCTGCAAAGGCTCACTGATAGAACCACTGACACAGATCAGACAGCAGGGAGGTACGACCGTCATGAATCTGAAAAGGAACGGGGTTTAGCAATGACAATGACTTGTAAGTGTCAACCAGGAAACAAGTTACCAAACAATGCCAGAAACTGCTGCAGTACTAGGACAAGGTAGGAGAACATCAATACCAGAAATTAGAACAGCAAACAGGGAGGAAGAGGAAGCGAAAGCGATTATCAATACAAGGAAGTGCCAACATTTCTCAGGGTAACTGAATATTTAGAAAAGCAAGTTTACAGAGAGAAAAAGAGTTTGTTTTATATAGTTCAAGACATTGATCTTAGAATCACTAATTTTTAACTCAACCTCAAAAACGATTATTTCCACAATGTCATGGTAGGTTCTGTTAATGCAGATAATAAGGCCTCTGTCAGAATTGTAGCAGTACAGACCCCGAGTTTATATACAGAAGATTTAACCCAATGGTAGTCATGAACAGGATGTGCAAAGCTGTGCAAATATTTACAAAATAAAGATCATTTTTACTCTTCACACCCAACCGCATTTTGGACTTTTGCAGATGATCTTTGAATGTTTTCATTGACGCCAATGCATAGTTTCTATTTTTATATATACATCAAGTTCACTTTTTTAAAAAAAATTGCATCTCTCACCAAAGTCTCTCAAGTGAGAATTAATGAACCATCACAAGTAAACCCATTTACTAAGAATTAATATGCTATTCAATAAGCACTTTTCTTAATTTACCAATACGATCATTGTTAGCTATAACCTTCGCCGAATACGATTTGGAAGTTCTGCCCATAGAAAGGATTGATTAATGACTTGCAGGCCCTTATCTTATTGTTATGCTCTTGTTGGGAACAGTCCAGGTGGCTTTGCCCTAGTAGTCACAGTGGAGAAACAATTCATCCAAATTGTGAAAAATCAATTTAAGAAGCTGGATTCTTAAGCAGTTTGCACAGTAAAGGTTTCCTATTGTCCTCAAGTGGCAGTCCTCTACTTTGTTCATCGACTTCCCTGTACAGTCAGTTTTGGAGGGTGGGGGGGGGGGAGCGGTGGTGGGGGTGAGGAAGAAAAAGGCTGTCACAACACAGCCACCGTTCAATCTTTGTAGACTGGTCACTGAAGAACCCACCAATAATCTCTTCATGACCACAAGTTTTATCAGTTCTCCCGTTCTTTCTCCAATGTCTTGTGATACATCCAAAGATAAACGTACATCATCTGTGACATCTTCAAACCTGTCAAAGTCATCGTTTCTCTAATTTCTTAAACTTGGCTTCTGTAATAAGAATGGAAGAATGCAGTTAGAATCATCAAGACGAAGATCACTACACAGAAAACACCTCAACAATGATCTGGTTTTTCAGTCATATGGGTTTACACAAATATCTTTGTTAGTTTGCTGACAGAAGCTTGGCTAGGTCTGACTACATAACGTGGAACATCAGGTTCAAGGAATACAAAAGCCACATTCAACTACCAAAAGAAGCATCAATATCCAAGGTAGGATACATGAAATTTTTCAATACAGAACTTGGAATATACCCTATATTTTGTTTTATCAACCAAAGGAATATAGATGTCGCTGTTGAATCACCTCATAGCATATCCTACAATTAATGTTGATGTACAAGTCAGCAGCTATTTTGGTCACAGGAACACAGAGAAACCGTAATTCAAGGAGTAGTCAGTTTAGTGTTTTGGATGAGTGTTGACAAAAGACAAACAGTGACTGGGACAGAGTAGAAGTCTATACCACTGCTTCAAATAATACCACGTGATTGTCAATGTCTCCCTAAAAAGGCTATTTCTTTCACATTCATCTATCAACCCTCAGTGTCAACTCAGATCATAAACCACACAGCACAGACCTCCAAGACATAGCTTCAGATTTAGCGACCATCCAAGCCCAAGGATTAAGAGTATTTTTAATCTTTACATGCATTGATGAATGGATCTCTCAAAATACATTTTCAGAACAATGATCCCAATAAATATACCATTTTGATTTTAATACTCTTTCTCTAGAGTAACACATGGGAACCTGCAGTAGTAAATACTCTAAAACAAGAGCATAAATTCCCACCTAGCTTCTTGGAGTATGCATCCAATCTATAGGCTGCTTGTTCCAGTGCTGCAACTTGTTCCTCTATTTGATTAATCTGATCAAGATATGGCTGTAGACTGGCATCTGAAAGATAAACACTGTATAGGTTTGAATCACTCACTCAGGATTCCTCAACACATTTTAAAAAATTAAGATTCAAATCTGCAGAAAACTTATGTAGAACACAAATGAAATTTGTTAAGACAGGTAAGGTACCAGCAAAAGTTGAAAATATGATTGCTTCAAGCATGAGAATGTGTCCAATCGTTGCATTATAAATAGCTTTACTTTAAGGGGCACACAAATGTTTTCTTTGCCCTGCTGCTTTTGCATAGTCGCACAGAATGCCTGTAACAAGAAAATCCACTGCACGGGCCAGACTTGTGAATCCCGAACACAACCTTCCCCAGCGACCCCTCTATCCCTGTATTAGAATCGTCCATTTGTGCTCAACATCTTTACTGAAAACTGGTAACACCAGCACCAAGACCTTCAACAGTTCTTTGACACCATCGCTGCAAAACAGAAACCACAGGAGATGTGTTAATTGGTCAACCACATGCTTTGAGACCGTTCCTGAGAATATCTGTTTTATGAAGAGAGACTGTGCAATTTATACCTACACTCTCTGGAGTTTGGAAGAATGAGGAGATGTAATTGAGGCATACAAGATGCTGAAGGGGACTGAAAGCAGACACAGAAAGGATGTTTCCTCACGTAGGGCAACCTAAAATGAGAGGTCATAGTTTTAGGATAAGGGGTAGTAGATTTAAAACAGATGAGAAGAAATTACTTCTCTCAAAGGGTCAAGAATTTGTGGATTTCACTACCTATAATGCTGAACTATTTATTTCTTTACTTCTCTAATTTTTTTTGTTTCCTAAGAATTTGATCTTAGGAATCTGTACCTTTGTGCCTAAGATGGTGCTGTAATGCAGCGACTATAAACTTTTCACTGTCCTCATTTGAGTACACGCGACAATAAAGCTAATTCATACCTCGGAGTACAGTGAATGCCGAGACATTTTGTAAATTTAAGGACAAGATGGACATATTTTCAGTTAGTAATGAACTAAAGGGTTACGGGACAGCGGCAGGAAAGTAAAGTTGAGGCCGAGACGAGATCTGCCATGACAGGGCAGGCTCAAGGGGCTGAACTACCTGGTCCTAATTCTCAGGCTTCAAGTTCATTGACATTTGGAGTGGGTAGACAACAAAACCGAGGCTTCCAAACCCTAGACTCACTGTTTTCCAAACAGCCTACTTCGAAGGTTAGAAATTATTATGCTAAAGTTTGGGGGAAGAATCCTATCATTCGAACAAGGTGATGTTATGTGATCAATGCATTATATGGCTCTTGCATTTGGTCTTATGAAAGCTAAATGTCACACTGGTTTATGAGGAATGATCAGAACTCAATAGTTTATTAACCATTATACCTTTTGTCTCTTAACACCATCATATGGATTTGCTCATTTGAGCAAATCATTTACACACTCTTTTCTTCCCCTCGTGTGTATGTCGGCAAGGATGGTATGTGCTAGCCATCCCTAATTGCCCTTGAACTATACACATTATTAGGCAGTTAAGAGTCAACTATATTGCTGTAGGTCCAGAGTCACATTTAGACCATCCCAGGTGAGAATGGCAGATTTCCTTCCCTAAAGAATATCAATGAACCAGGTGGGCATTTATTAAAATGAAAGTGATAGTTTCACAATCATTACAGTGACGAGCTTTCAAATGAAGATTAATTAACTGAATTGAAATTAAGATAGCTTGTGCAATGGAAATTGAACCAACGCTCGTTGAGTTTTAGCCCAGATTACTAGACCAGTGTCGACATCACAACACAACCATCTCCTTCTGTACTATGTCCATTAGTACTGCAGGTCAGAATCAGTCTAAACATGGACCTGGATCAGAGCTCGTCTGATATTTTAATCTGGGTAGTGAGAATATTACCAATTGGGACAAGCTGATGCGAGGCCAGAGCGGCTGTCTTTGACCAAGCATTAAGGAGTCAAAATAAAACTGAAGTCACTGGGAATCAGGAGATAAAATGCACAGTGGTTGGAGCCATACCTAGCACACAAGAAAAGAGTTGGTTGTGCTTACTGAGGGACCCATCATCTCAGCTCTTGGACATTATTGCATGAGTTCCTCACAGCAGTCATGCAGACCCAGTAATCTCTGGTTGTTTCAATAATTTTCCCTCTATATAATCAATATAAAGACCAGATGTGGGGATGTTCATTGATGATAGCCACTGTTCTGACCCATTTCCAACTCTTCAGGTAATGAAGCAATCTGTGCTTGTGTGCAGGAAGACCTGGGCCATGTGACAACATTCAACTTGGGCTAACATGTAGTATCGATATTCCTTGCCACATAGCAGCCAGAAAACAGCCATTTTCAACAAGAGAGAACCGAATTAACTCCACATGAAATTCAACAGTATTACCTTCCATCAGAAACTTAACTGGACATTCCACGTTTTCTTACTACAGATGTAGGTTACAGAGGTTGGGAATACTGCAGCAAATGTATGTATCCTCACACTCCAAAGCCTAGCTACAATCTACAAGTCACTAGGCAGAAGTGTATAAAATACTCTGTACTTCCCTGGGTGAGTCCCGCTCAATCAGCATGCAAGTTCAGAACCAAACAGGCCACAGTAGCACACAGTCTCATCCTGGCTGCATCTTCAGGGTATTCCATTGTTCCTTAATCAGCTTTCTCCGAGAACAGGTGCTGTTAACTGAACTGTTCTGAACTTTGTTTTAATGTTACTTCTTTTTTTATTACGTATGACCTCTGTCATTGATGTCAGTGCTGTGGTGAGGCAACTTATAGAACTGTTCTGTTTTTTTTTTTTAAACGTAAAAGTACACGACAATAAATTTTTATTTTATCCTTCACTGCCAAAACACAGTGGTTGCACTGTAGCAACTCAACAAGGCTCCTTTGACAGTACCTTCCAAAACTGTAACCTCTACCATCAAGTAGTACAAGGGCAGCAGATGCACAGGAACAAGTCACGACAGCTCCTTCTTTGTTGTTGCTAAACATCCAAGAACTCCATTCCCAACAGCACTGAAGGAGTACCTACACCAGACAGACTGCATTGATTTGATTTGATTTAGTGTTGTCATATGTACCCAAGTACAGTGAAAAGTTTTGTTTTGCAAATAGGTGGATCATAACATACAAGGACATACAGATGATAGGATATTTAGACAGAGCAAGGCATGCAGACGCAGTCAAATGACATGGCTGACCACCACCTTAGAGGCATTCAGGATTGGACTTGTCTTTAGACAACTACAAGTTAAAGAAAATAAACCATTTATTGCAAAACAAAATTAGGAAATTGGTTATAATTTTATTTGGAAACCATTAATATCAAATATAATTATCCAATTCTACCTAAAACTAATCTCCAAGACAATGAAGTTACAATAATTTTATAAGATCGTCTGCTGATAAACTGAGTATTTTCAGGGTATGTATGCAAAACATGCATGCGCAGTACCCCTGCCAGTATCTCATTCTATCCCGTTTGCTTATTTGGCCACTACTATGCACGTTACTGGCAAGGCATATCACAAGGTGTGCATGTTCTACCTTCAATGGATCTATACAAGTTCCACCATTACCTAAAGCACTAATTAATTCACAGGCAAAGAAATTCAATGTTCAGATTGGCAATTGGGTACCTCATCTTAGAAGTTACTTTGAGCATGAAGACCCCTATATTACCCCATCTGTCCAAATGATGCCACTGGCATCAACTGCATTTGAAGAGATACAGTCAATCCTAGATGTTAATAAACCTCAATATTATTTGGACATGACAGCAAGATGAGGCATCAAGCAGCTCTTAATCTAGAGAGCTCACAATAATTAGCCTCCACATTTTTTTTACCCTGATCATTCAGGGGTCACGGGCTTCACCGACAGTGCAAGCACTTATTGCCCTTTCCTAACTGCCCTTAAAGAGGTGGCGTTGAGTTGCCTTTTTGAACCACTGCAGTCCTTGTGGCACAGGGATACCCATAATGCTGTTAGGAAAGAAGTTCCACACTTCTTATGAATGATACTTATCACAAGGCTGACTGAAAACAAAGAAACCAGAGCTTGGGGCCAAACGGGGTTAGCAATTGAACTTTATAATCAAGCACCAATTCACCAATGAGCAACTATACAGGCACTTAACTATTCTGTTGAAAAATGAAATACTAAAATACTCACATTTCTGATTGAGATCTTTGAGGTTGCGGTTAATATTAAGAGCAATTTCCTTCATCTCTAGGTATTTAAGGCCAGTCAGTTTGTTCATGTTCTCCAACAGTTTGTAATCTTCACAGGTAGCTATGGCAGATTAAGGTTAAGAAGCATCAATAAATCAGTGGTGAATTCTGTACGTAATGTATAAGTCAGTTGTCAGTCTATTTAAGTCAGGAAGAGTTACAAGGTTACAGATGCTTAATAAAAAGGGATATAAGCACTGGCCAACTTCAAACTGTACCACATAAATCAGGAAGGTATAAAATTCGTTCCCATTTGTACCTACAGCCTATTTGAGCTCACTGTTCATATTACCAACTATAGCATCGCTTCATTACTTGCTTATTCTTTCAGGATACGTGGGTGCTGCTGGCAAGGCCATTCTCAATTGCATTTAAACTGAGTGGCTTGCTTGGCTATTTCAGAGTGCAGTTAAAAGTCTGGTGTCACAATGAATCAAGCCAGAACTTCTGCCTAATACTTCCTCTCAGGCTACTGGAAGCTATGATGGTAGTACCAGAAAAGATGTGCTGTTGCTCCCATTACTGAACTTATTTGGCTCCACAATCAATAATAGCAAACTCACCTGTGAGTTCTCCTTGCAGGTAGAGAGACATTTTGGTAAACATATCCTTGCAGAGTTCATTGATGTCTGGCTCTGAAGGTTCTGTGGCTTCCTCTGCTGTCTCTACTCCAAAATCATCTAGCAGCAGAACAGAATTGTGACAACATTAATGGTTAATCTAGTAGTTCTTCAATTATGTGGGAAAATGAACCACAGACATGGGCTCAAGATCCATAAAGCCAATCTTCTGACCAAGTCCAATTAAAAAATTTTCAGCACATTGCAATATAATTTGTTTCTGTACACTAAATAAATTGAAAGTGGAGCAATGGCTACCTTTATTTTTAAATGTTTATTTATTTATTTTTAACAGTTGTGATGGATAAATGTGAGGTATTGCATTTCGGTAAAACAAACAACAGGGCAGGACTTATACAATTAAAAGTACAGCCCTGGGTAGTCTTGTAGAACAGAGACACCTAGGGGTTCAGGTACATAATTCTTTGAAATTTGCATTACAGATAGACAGATGGTAAAAAAAGTGTTTAACACACTTGCCTTCATTGCTCAGACCATTCAGTATGGGAGTTGGGACAAAATGTTGAGGTTGTACAGGACAATGGTGAGGACTCTTCTAGAGTGCTGTGTGCAGTTTGGTCACCCTGCTCTAGGAAGAATATTATTAAATTGGAGAGGGTTCAGAAAAGATTTACCAGGATGCTATTGGGAATGGAGGGTTTGAGTTATAAAAATAGTCATTGAGTCATTTTTCACTAGAGCACAAGAGGTTGAGGGGTGATCTTATTGGGGTTTATAAAATCATCAGGGGACATAGATAAGATGACTAGCAAAGGTCTTTTCCCTCAGGTGAGAGAGTTCAAAAGTAGGGGGCATATGTTTAAGGTGAGAGGAGAAAGTTTAAAAAAGGACATGAGAAGCAACTCTTTTTACACAGAGTGGCTCGTGAGTGGAATGAACTTCCAGAGGAATTGGTTGATACAGGTACAGTTACAATGTTCAAAAGACATTTGGATAAGTACATGAATAGGCAACGTTGAGGGATATGGGCCAGGAGCAGGCAGGTGGGACTAGTTTAGTTTGGGAACACTGTCAGTGTGAACAAGTTGGACTGAAGAATCTGTTTCCATGTTGTATGACTCCGACAAGGCAGATGTCAAAATAAAACCTAGCATGATAGATCATATATTTAACTTTTGTAATTGGTTACCATGGTGGTTAGTAGCAAAAACATTCATGAGGCTGCAGACTTTTTTTTAAACAACAGAACGCATGTTTATTATATAATAAAAGTTATACATTCAAAAAAAAACAATCTTAATACAGAAAGTTTCAATCTGTTTCCCAATATCACGTGTAACAGAGGCTAAATCCCAGAGAAATATCCCTATCACAATAAAAACCAAAACACAACTGCACATGCCGTAAATCAGAAACAAAAACAGAAATTGCTGGAAAAGCTCAACAAGTCTGGCAGCATCTGTGGAGAGAAATCAGAGTTAACATTTCGGGTCCAGTGATCCTTCCTCAGAACCTTGTAGCAGTAGCCATAGGAACAGGTCAGAGGCTAGGAACACTACAGCGAATAATTCACCTCCTAACTCCCCAATGCCTTTGCACCATCTGCAAGGCACAAGTCAGGAGTGTGATGGGATACTCCCCACTTGCCTGGATGAGTGCAGCTCCAACAACACTC